CCTGTTCAGCTCTCTAGGCTGAAACTCCCACATTGTGGCACATTTTTTTCAAGGGTGCTGTGTGATGTCTGAGTCATTGCTCTTTGCCAGATCTTCAGTTCCTCTTATCAAGTACCCAGATGTAGTGATTTATGCCACAAAAGATGATATATTTTAGTTTGTGATAATATCCCAACCGCTGGGAGCTGTCCGTAACTCTTATGAGAGTGACGGTGGGTCAGGAGGCACATCTTTTGAAAATTAAATATAACTGTGCTGTCATCTGTGAGCTTTATTTCCTCCTTCCCCATTCATAGCAGTATCATCCTTGTGTATTGTGTGCTAGGTTGTAGCTGGATGCTGGGCTGAGATAGAACATTTGATGGTAGGGAGGACACTGAGTTTTATCTGGGTCTGAGGATGTTGTAGGCTGCAAACAGAATGATGTTTTTCTTTCCAGATTTTTAGCCAAATGCACTCAAACCCATCACCTGTGCACAGGGCAGCATCCATGAGGAGTGTGTGTCTCCACTGTGTGACATTATTTAGTTACAAGAAGGAAAAAAGAAAATTGCAAATATTTTTTTTTTCCAAAATGAAATACATAGTAAATATTTCACAACCCCATAAATAAAAATGATTGGCCTGATCTTTTAAAAACGTATTTCCCTTTGGGCTCTGATTAAGCATGAGAAAGTTCAGCCTAAGGGGGAATTTATTTGCAAAAGCAGTGAAAGGTTAGAAGCTAGGATGTGGGCTGGAATACGCCCTACAAACGTTAACTGTGGAGGCAGAGTGCTAATGTCTTGCATGTGCAAAAACATTTTGAGGGTTGTGAATTTAAACCATTAAATTAATAAATTCAGAATTAAGATTTTTCTTCCCCAGACCTTACGCATACAGGATATGGTGATTTTAATGTTCTGAGTGGTGATGGGAAGATATGTAAGTGGTTTGCTGGTGTTACTTTAACATTAAGGGTCTTTAGCATCTCCATTTCTTGATTAATTTTAAATATTCAAATTTGCAACCTTAATGTTTCTTTAAAGTAAATTTTAGCTTTTGATTTCCTTGTACTTTTTGAGGGGTAACAGAGCAAAAAATGGAAAGTTCCACTGTTGTGCTTGGTAAAACTTACTAATGCCTTACACAATGAAAAGCCTAATGTAGCTGGTGTGTGTGCGCACACCCACGCACACTTGCCAAAGTGAATGGTTAGTCATTTACAACTTTGTGATTAATTTTTCCAATGTTCTTATTTAATAATTCTCCCGCTCCATGGGGAGGGCAATAAAAATGGATTTTATTTTTCTAATGCATTTGCATTTTAAGTAGGTGAAGTCTCTTTAGATTCCCATTTGCCTAACAAGTAGATGAATATGTTCATCTTCAAATTCAAATGACCAATGGGCTGAGACCAAGAATGATAAATTTCTGTGCAGGAGAAGGACATTAAGAAAATAATACAGAACTTAGTTCTGGGCTCTACAGCATGAAGAAAATGTTGACCTTAAGGCCTAAGGTCTGTTCCTTCTGGGCTGTAGCTGTTGCCTCTCACAAAAGCCCCTTTGACCTCAGCTCCAGGCTGGGGTCACTCACTCTCCCCTTTTTCAGCAAGTTCCAGGGCTGTCCCTTGCTCCTTAACACAGGCTACTCCTGTCTTGCTCTGACATCCTCCTCCTGTGAGGAATTGCAGGACTGGAATGGGAGAGAGTTTATCCCTGGGATTCCTCAGGTGCTCGGTAACTGGGAGACCCGTTTCCCTTTGCCTTTCTCTGCGGCTGTTCGCTGGTTCTGAGCCAGAGCCTTCACGTTACAGCAACGACGACTTGTTTTTGAGGCTGGGTGAAATAGGTGACAGTTCCTGGACCTGTTTTTTAGTAGGGTAAATTTGAAGTTGCTCTTCTGACATAACTCACAGTAAGGGTTCTTTTTGGATGTTCTCATCTTGGGTATCCTATTGGGTGTCTTTGGCACCCAATTGGCACATATATTAACGTGCCTTATAACCACATAAAGTGTGCTCAGGAGCCTGACACGCATCGTCATGCTGGAGGGTTTGATGTTCATGCAAGTCCTGCAGTTCCATAGCTCTGGAGATGACCAGTTGCTCTGTAGATAGTTTAAATATAAGGTTTTAGAAAAGGAGGCTTTCCAGTTGTCCTTAAATCTGTGATTTCCACACGATCTTATACAGAAAATTGATAATATATCCATAAAAATTAAATCTCTGCCCCTTTCACAGATGCTGACCAAAAAGGTCATGTTTACAAAAATCTGGACGTTAGTACTTAGCCACACATCTCTTACAGAGTTCCTAGGCAGCAAGATTGATGAAGAAATATACTTTTTCTACTAAAAACAGGATGAGAATTTTAGTAATCCCAGACCATTCTGATCATCCGTCAGTTTGTCCTGAAAATGCCAGGAGAGCTTTATTGAAGATGGAAATACATCCCTCCACTGTTCATTAAGAAGGGACGCACTTTCCATCTTCTGACATGCTTTGAAATTTAGCAAGAGAAAAGGTGTACAAACAGCGATGCCATTAATTATTCCAAATTCTTCTTTCAGCCTCAACCTTTGTCTGCTGAGCTGCGTGTTGGCATTTCAGCAGCAATAAACCTGAATAGCACACAAAAAAACCAAAACGCTTTAAGTATTTTTTTAATTATTTCTTGAAAACTATATCCCAATCATTTGTTAGCCAAGAAAATGAGTGAAAAGATGTAGCCTGTAGTGTTGAGTAATCCAGCTCGTCTCATCACACTTCTCAGAATTTTCACTGCTAAGGATCATTTTAACCAGTAAAGGCAGAGAAATACAAGGGTTACCTTCTTAAGATCTCCTCCCTTCAACCTAAGCAAAAAGGTCAGAGTTCTTGGTTATCTTCCTGATTGTAGAGAGGAGGGCTCTGCATCCTTCTTACTTTATTTTCATTTGATTTTGTTCTTTATGCCAGTTTATAGAGCCAGGATCTCTTCTTCAGTGCTTGTTCGTCATTTAACTGTCACTTTTCCTTTCCACTTCGGAAAGCAGGCAGTGATACTCCCTGTGAATTCCCATCTGGAGATCACAGGATGAACAAAATTTCTGGTCGAGAAGAAATGAGTAGGAAAAAGTCAAGATGAGGCTTGTTTTTCCTTTATGAAACTCTCAGTGCTACATTGTTTAATCTGAACCATCGTGAAGTAGATAAAGTAGTCTATATTCCCAGCCAAACTATTTTGATTTCAAAAGGAGGTTAAAATAAAATGGCCTTTATTGTTTGTAGAGCGTTACTCTAGAATGTGGGCTCAACTGAGGGTTACTTCACTTAAGATGGAGATTCAGCATCCTTGTTGATAGAAAAAAATAATTATCATCAACAGTTATCGTTAACAAATTGTCATCAAGTTAAAAAATTCCATCAACAAGTTATGTATGTACAACTATACTTATTTTTTTTCATTATGCAAGATTAATGCTGTTCTTTGTCAAATTGCTGGTTGTAGCATATTATCTCTTTTCAACATTATCTTACATTAGTTACAATTTGAATAAAAAAGAATTCACCAGTGCCCTGAAGTGACACCAGAATGAAAACTCTGAAACTAGATCTGCTGGTGTTACTTTGTCTGGTGCCTGTCATGGAGAGTGAATATCCTGGTTCATAATGCTGAATTAGGGCATAATCATAGAACACTGTAATATTTTCACTTTAAATTGAAGGTACTTGCTGACTATGGACTCAGCTTAAACATACTTTTAACTGTGGGAGAAGGAAATTCATTGATGTGTAACATCCTGAGAATGCCTGGTTAGTCTTTTCTCTCTCAATATCCAGGGAGTAGTAGCCAAAACACCTTTTCCCCAAATTGTTTTTAAAAAGTTCAGCATGTGACCATCAGAGTATTACGAGCAAGAAGGCTGTCTTTCAGAAATGAATTCAGGATATTCCCCTCTGTATGGAATTTCCTGCTAGTCTGGCGTCGAGTTTCCGAACGTGGAGGGATTACATATAGCCCTGGATGGTCTGCATTTAAATCTCCATTGTGCTGATACATTCAGCTGACACATGGTTTGGATAAAGCAGCACAGAATTCATAGAATTCACTGGCCACCTACTTGAAAGCAGCTTAAAAAGTGTTGTCAGGTGAAGCTGGTGCTGTGCCGGCTGAACGCACCTGCAGCGATTTCTTCGTAGGAGCCGGGACTGAGCTGTGAAATGCTTCAGTGAGAACCCGAGCCCAAGCCTGTGGCTCAGAGCCTTCTCACCTGGCGTTTAGCCCCTTCCCAACATGTAGGTCAGCTAACACCTTACACCATTTTTTGGTAATTTCAAGGGATTTGGCTCGTCTGTGAGGATCTGGGGTTACCTTTTTCTTGACTCGGTAGTTTACAGCCTGAGGACGCCCCTGCGGGAAGCTCCATGGCAGGTAAAGCCAGTGTGTGCCCAGATGGCTCCCGTGTAGGGGGAGACAAGGCCAAGTGTTTGTGGGAAGGAAGTAAATGATCATGAAATGAGTGATCGTGGAATAGTTTGCCCACATGGAAAGTATTTTCCTAACCCCTACTTAGGAGCTGGCTTGTGCCTTTGTGTGTGAGGGTTTCTGTCCTTTCCAAATTTCTGGATTTTATTATTATTTAATCCTTACTAATGTAATTCTGGATACTTTAATCCTCTTAAGGGGTTGCTGCTGACTTTGGGCTCAGTCCTGTTCCCTTTTCAAGGAATTTTGCCATTAGACACCTTTTAAGTTTAGCTGTGATGTAGATTGCAACTGATTTTACTGGCAACTCTCTCCTTGGCTGTAAAATGCAGGTGTAAAGCTCGTAACTGCTGTTTGAATGAGGAGTAGGTGGAGATCTACAGGCCTATGTCTGCATACTCACATTTTGCCTCTCCCCGCTGTCAGTCCAGCATCTGGAAGGAAGCCCCTAAAGATGCCAAAGGGTTAGGTCAAAAGAATTGTCCATGAACCTGCGCGGGGAATATCCTGCTAGTTTAGGAAGCCATAAATATGTTCCTTTCCATCTAGGTGCCCCTCTGGCTGCGGAAAGGGAGAAGAAGCCTCTCTCCAGAGCTGTCTTTGTGCTGCCCTGGATGGAATCCACAGAAACAAGTGAGGGTCCCAGATGTTTTTGCTCCCTGCTCGGTCGTAAGGAAGCAGTAACTGCACCCTGGGTCTCCTGGGGAGGCTGCTCAGATGGTCTCTGTGCTGGACACGGCCTGGAAAGGCATTTCCCGGTGACAAGCGCATGCCACGTATCTCAGAAAATACCAGCCTTTCCTGTTTCTTTCCATCAGGTGGTTTAGTCGTGGTGGCTTTGGCTCTTACTGAAGGGTGTTGGAGTTGCTCACGGTTCCTTTCCATGGGGCAGACATCCTGGGGAAGGTGGTGCTTTTTTCAGGTGCTGCTCTGCGGCCATTGACCAGCTCCAGCCCTGTGTTTGTCACCAGCAGAACTCATAAGGACTCCAGCATCTGCCAGCAGATTTTCAGGAAACAGTTAAGGAATGTGAAACTGAGCATCAGAGCATCTCATGTCCTGTAATTAACTGGCTGAGGGTGGAGGGATGATGCTGATATTTCAGTGTCACATAAACCTCACTCAGAAATCCCGTTTGGGGGAAAAAATGTCATAACCTCAAATAGAGAGATGACAGATAAGCAGTGGGCTTAACTGTAAGAAATGCAACTCCCCTCCCCTTTCAGTGATGCTGCTGGACTGTTTGTGAAACCTTGTTTCCCGCTGTGAGCCAGGAATGCAAAATTCCTGGAGTTTGGTGTTTCCTTTGCCCTTCTCAGACCTTCTGGTGTAAAGGTGCCACCCTGACCATGGGGCAGGACAACGAGTGCTGTCCAGACTTCCCACTCTTCATTTTTATTTTGCTACTTTTTTCTTGACTGGGACTTGGAACACTGCTGGATTTAGGAATAATTCGTCAGGCTATTGCAATCTACATTCAGCAGTTTCGTCCTTTCACATTTGGAGGATGTCCCTATCAGACAGGTATTTCTGCAGTGCTGTGTAACAGTGGGATCACTTAGGATTCAAGAGAACCTGTAAAGTGTCTAGATGTCGTGAGAGCCCCTCTATCAAGTTGCTTTTGTGGCTTCTTCCATTTGAAAGGTCAATATGAATTCTGGGTCAGGTGAAAATTGTTCTTCACTGTGGAGAACTCCTTAAAGAAGCTCCCACAGCCTGCTGTGTGGAGAGCCCATGATTCTGGACCCTGAATGGAGAGAGCTGTCATCATTGAAGGGATCTCATCTGTACGGTGTATGTAGCTGTTTCCAATTCAGGTTTCTCTGATGCTGCACAGAGCTCTTTGAGCCCGTTTGAAACTCATTTCTACACAGTTTTTGTGATCTCAGATTCCTGAACTTATGATTGAGAGCAGCCCCGAGGAGAGGGACTTGGGGGTGTTGGTGGATGAGAAGCTCAGAACACCCCAGCAACATGTTCTGGCAGCCCAGAAATGCCCCACACCCTGGGCTGCATATCCAGCAGCATGGCCAGCAGGGCAAGGTTGTGGGGGAATTCCACCTCTTTGCTCTGCTCTGGTGAAACTCCATGCAGAACACTGCCTCCAGCCCTGGGGCCACCAACAGCAGAAGGACACGGACCTGTTGGAGCGGGGCCAGAGGAGGCCGTGGAGATGCTGGGAGGGCTGGAGCCCCTCTGCTGGGAGGACAGGCTGAGAGAGTTGGGGGGGTTCAGTCTGGAGAAGAGAAGGCTCCGGGGAGACCTTAGAGCCCCTTCCAGTCCCTCAAGGGGCTCCAGGAAAGATGGGGACAAACTTTTTATCAGGGCCTATTGCGACAGGACAAAGGGTAATGGCTTAAATCTAAAATAAGTTAGATGCAGACTAGATACAAGTAGGAAATGTTTCACTCTGAGGGTGGTGAGAGCCTGGCCCAGGTTGCCCCGAGAAGCTGTGGCTGCCCCATCCCTGGAGGGGGTCAAGGCCAGGTTGGATGGGGCTTTGAGCAACCTGGTCTGGTGGGAGGTGTCCCTGCCCAGGGCAGGAGTTGGACTCGATGATCTTTAAGGTCCCTTCCAACCTAAACCATTCTGTGATTCTATGAACGTGGGTTAAGTGATCTGTATTTTTAGCTTGTGATACAGAAGTCCTGAGCTTTCAACAAGTTTCTGATTGCTGTTGTTCCCTTCTTGGGTTTCCAGAGCAAAATCCATCAGGTCTCTGATCCAGGTGCCCTAAGGAAGGAATCCTCTTCCTTCACCTGCCACTGTTGGGCATGTGTCCTCTGTTCTCCCTCTTTCCTGACAGAAGGAAATATGTGGTTTCTTCTCTGCTGTTTTGCTGAAGCAAAACAACAACAAAAAAATCTCAAAATATTGAATGCAAAATTGGGAAGGAAGATGGCCCAGCTGGTCATCCCCAGGGTGGGGTATTGCAGCAGCTACAAGCCGCTGCTGAACACAGAGCGTGGGGCAGGAGCCAGGCGGCAGCAGCTGCCGGAGACAGGCAGGAGAGAGCAGCACAGTCCCTGTCCTTTACTGGACCACCCTGCAAGCAGAGTGGTTGAAAAGGCTCCTAGGTCCTATGGAGTTATTTCTTCAGGTACTGAGATGGCCCGTTTGCCATCTCAGTTTCTCAGTCCTTTGTATCCAAGGAACTGCCTTGTAGCAAGGCTGTTCTTGCCTTTTTTTCTAATACAATGTGATGCTGTATTTTGGTGCATGTATTTCATGAGATTGAATGTGGGATATAGAGATATAAGGCCATTTCTCCTTAGACCTCATTCTAGAATCTCTGCTCCCCTTGGAAAGACTCATGAGCATGAAGGAAAGGATATTTGCTGGAGTTTCTTTTTTAACTAGGTGCCTTTCAAAGATTTTGAAAGTCTAGATTTGCAGCAGTGTAAATGTGAGGGTGACTGCTCAGGTTGCAGCGAGGATGTGTTCTGTGGGACTGTTGCCCGAGTACCAGTGAGGGGCAGCACTGAACCTCTCTGCCAGGGGGCTAATTAGTAGCTTTTTCTGTATTTTTCCTTAAGTCCTAATATTGCTTTTGGTGGAGCTGCACTGTGTTAATGTCTCCCTGAGGACAGGAGACAGCCTGAATCTGGTCAGACTTGCTTGAGTAGCGTTAGTTTTATGTGTCTGGTACCATCTCTTTATGTGTCTGTTTGATGTGTGGTGTCTGGTGTCTTCAGAGGCTTAGGGGGGTCGGGATGGGCTTGCAGCACACCTGAGCATTCCGGGTCCCCACTGGAAGTGATGTTACATAGATTGGGTACGGTGCCCGGGCTGGAGTTGACGTTAGTCTGGTATTTATAACCCAGAGCAGGGAAAGTATGCATTGCTCCATTGATGCTCCAGGCTGGAGGAAGAGTGGCCGGAACTGCCCGGTGGAAAAGGACCTGGGGGTGCTGGTCAACAGCTGGCTGAATATGAGCCAGCAGTGTGCCCAGGTGGCCAAGAAGGCCAACAGCATCCTGGCCTGTGTCAGGAACAGCGTGGGGAGTTGGAGTAAGGGAGTAATGGTCCCCCTGTCCTGGACACTGGTGAGGAGCAGCTGAGGGAGCTGGGGGTGTTCAGCCTGGAGAAAAGGAGGCTGAGGGGAGACCTTCTCACTCTCAACTCCCTGAAAGGAGGGTGTAGCCAGGGGGGGTGGGTCTCTACTCCCAGGGAACAGGCGATGGGACAAGAGGAAACAGCTTCAAGTTGTGCCAGGGGAGGTTCAGATTGGATATTAGGGAAGGTGTTTACACTGAGAAGGTTGTGAAGCCTTGGAACGGGCTGCCCAGGGCAGTGACTGAGTCACCATCCCTGGAGGTATTTAAAAGATGGGGAGACGTGGTGCTGAGGGACATGGGTTAGTGGTGGTTTTGTCAGTGTTGGGTTGATGGTTGGACTCAATGATCTGAAGGGTCCCTTCCAACCCAGGCAATTCTATGATTCTAAGTAGTAGTGCACAGGCTAATTCTTGGTGAATTTCCTGCTAAGGAAGCTGTCACTGGTGGGGACAGCACTGGTGGATGTATTGATGGCTGACAGCAAGGACAGCTCTATTAGGTGAGAAGGAAGAAGTCTGGCACTTGGATGCAGCCCTGGAAGAGTCATTGTTCAGAGAGAGTGAAGCTTAGCTACACATTGGCAGTCTCCTGACACTGTCGTCTGAATTCTGCGTAAACCTCCTCATCTCTGTGACTTGGCACTGTTTGCTGGGTGTTATCTCCGTTAAAACAGTCCAGGAGGGGATTAGAACCAGGACCAGCTGGAACAAAATCTTACTTCTCATAACGACTTGTTTCACTGTACCCTCTGGAGGTCGTTCTTCCTTAGGGATGACCATCCCCCAACAGAACAGGCAGAGCCCTACGCTCCTGCGCTGCTACTCTGTCCTGTTTCCCTTTTCCCCACGCTGCCGGGGGAGGCAGTGACTGGACCCATTTGCTGCTCAACCCTCTGCTGCTGACAGTGAGACCCCACAATCTTACCCCACCAGAGCTTAGTTTTATTCTGTTCTAACAAGTGTCCTTATTTATTGAGCACTTCTCTTCCAAACTAAGGCCATAATAGTCTTCCTTCTCTAAATGGAGATACTGGAAGTGCTTGGAGTTTGGTACTCCTCTGAAGGATTAGTCTTCGGTTCATCTACCGTGTGGCTCGTTACACTTCAAAAAGGAGGTTGGTTTCTTGTCCTGGGGACGCCCAGCAATGTGAGACTGATAACTGATGACACGTTATGAATTTTTTCTGCTAATAATTGGCTGTTTTGTTTTTTGGGTTTTTTTTCAACAGACAGACAGATACTCACTAGTATCGTTAGATTCTCTTTGTTGTTGAAAAGGGCCCAGAGTAGCCTGAGCCCCTCAGCGCCGTTGTATGGGCCACAGAAGGAGACTGCATAAGATTTTATAATGAAACAGTTAAATGTGACCTACTGGGTGCTTTTATCACTTGAATGTTCTCACAGCTGCATTTTTCTTTTCCTCCTGCTCTTCCTTAAGCACAGCACTGTCTGCAGCAGTGAATCCTTTTCATCTCAGTATATACACCTGGGCTCTGTCTCACTTGTTCAGCCTAAGCCTTTTAAAACCCCTCAGATCTAGCTTAGCATTGCTGTGCTCTGATTAACATCCAAATATTTTTTGGTAGCAGAAATAAAGTTCCAGTGCCCAGCTGTTTAACACCTTTTGTATTTGGCATTTTTCTTTTATAGATGACCATAGCTTCTACTTTCATTCTGCCAAGCAGAATAAAGGGGCAGAAAGTGGTTCTTCATTTAGTGTTGAAGTCCCATATACTGATGGGCTGCAGTAGTGAACCCAAGTGAGCGATCAGACTGTACTGATGGATACTAGCTTAAAATACTCATTTTATTTAAAAAATAAAATTTTGAGAAGTAAAAAAGAAGCTTACTTAATGTGGATACTCTGGTGTGTTTGAACACTGTGTGAAAGAGGTAAAACTAAGGCTTTAAGTTCTCTGTTTGTGGATGGCTACAGACCACTGAGCTCCTGCAGGGGACCTTGCCAAATGGCAGCTCCTTGTGGAGCCATGGTAGCTGATGTGTGCACTCCCAGCTGGCTCCTGTTCTGAAGTAAAACACGTTAGTTTTGAGATCCTTTGTGGCTACACCAGCGGATGTGTTGCAGTGGGCTGGTGGTGGGCTGACAAGGGCAGAGCTGTGAGTTGCAGTGGGGCGACTGCTCATGGGTGTCAGTCTGTACCCCGAGCTGTGTGTCAGGTATCAGATGGTGGCAAAACCCCACCAAGTTGACAAGCAAATTACTCCTCTTACACTAATGTGAGAGCTGAGCCAAAGGGGTCCCTTGTCCCCAGCCAGACCAAAATGAATTCATGAGCATCTCTATCTTCTTGCATCTCTCTTCCCCTGGCTGTGGTGAGCGGGGTCTGTTCTTGCTGGGGTGAAGGGGAGGGTGCAAGGTACATGAAACCAGGCTCCAGCAATTCTCCTGTTCACTGAGCACCTTCCTGTCCTGTGTGTTTCAGATTGTTGGTTCTCTCTGGTTTTGATTGTTGTAACATGCCCGTAGGGGATGTTGGATGGAGTTAGCAATCAGCGAGAGCAGCACGAGACCCAAGTGCCACCCGTGTCGTAGGTGGCAAATGCAGAGTTTGACTTCCAACAGCTCATGCCTTGGCTCTGTGTTTAGTTCTGCCAGTTTGTCCCCATCCTGACCAGTCCTTGCCTACTGGAGCCCTGAACTTCCAAAGGAGGTTTCAGCAGGGCCTGCTGCTCTGTGTCATCATTGCTGCGAGGTCTCACAGAGGCCGTGCTGGAGAACAGGGCTGAATAGGAAACAACAAATCAGAATCTGTTCTAAACCGTACAGCGTGGGGCACAGGGGGACAATGTGAAGCAGTGGTTGTCTGCGTGCCACAGACATTCGAAAGAGCATGTGGGATGAATGGGATAAATATCTGCAAGGGGTGTCTGACTGAGCAGCGTTGTGTGGAGTGCTTGCCTTTTACCTAAGAGTTTCTAAAGTGGCCTGTTTTCTTCTTCCTACAGACAATTTTAGGTACACGTGTGACATTTGTGGGAAAAAATATAAATATTATAGCTGCTTCCAAGAGCACAGAGACCTACATGCCGTGGATGGTGAGTACTGTTTTGACACTCAGACGCCCAAATTAGAATGAGAGGTCCTTGGGAGAGACAGAGTGTGGTTCTGCAGGACGGTGTGGCCCGTGCTGTACAGGCTGTTGCCCAGCGTGGCCCGCTCCCCTCTGCCAGGGGAGGCCCGGCCTGCAGGCGCTGCAGGAAGGAGTTTGCTGCGCTCGATTCTCTCCGCCTGCATCCAAAGAACACCCTCTGCCGGGCCCTGCGGTCCCTGCAGTCCCATCTGGCTGAAGGATGGTGGATGGGACGGGTGTGCTAAAATCCGAGGGCCTCAAGGTGAACTGTCGGTCTGGCTACTCACTGGGCAAGAGTTGCTTGCCTTTTGGTTTTTTTTTACCTCACAGGTTTGTTCTCAACGCGCTCCTCTGTGAGAAACCACATTTCAGAATTGAGAAATGTTGTTTTGTTCTTGTTCATCGCTGTGGTGGGGAACTGACTGCAGTTCTCACTGGACGTTACAGGCCAATTTTTCCTCTGTGCATGTAGAAGCGGCCTAGGCTGGTGACACTCGGGCAGAAGCAGGCACCCTCATCCCAAAGCAGTGTTTCTTTTTTTCACATTGGGGAAATAGAAGCAACAACATACTGTCTTTGGCTTGCCTGCATGCTCTTAACTAGGCATCTAAAGCTTCTCAACTCAGAGCCCACAGATGCTCCAAACCCTCGCTGCGTATGCTACCAGCCTGTCCATGTCACTCCTCACTTGGCCGTGGAGGAAGCCCTGGCAGTTTTGGAAAGTCCCTGCTTGGAAAGCAGAAGGTTTTGAATGGCTGGACTCTCTTGGAAAAGCAAATGGTTTTTCACAATACGTGGTGTTGAAAAAATTGCTGTTTTTAACTGGAGCACGTGGACATCAAAACATTTTCTAAGATCAGCCAGTGTTCTCTTAGAGCACACAACTGCAAGCTTCCTTTCTCCCATGGGGAGCCAAAATTGAATTACTGGAACTGAAAGTCACTGTGAGATGGACATGTCTGCTCCTGTCAGAAATGTGTCTTTGTAGCTATGGTTCAGGGAGCTCTGCCTAGAGGTTACCAGAGGGCTTTGGAAACTGCTTCCTCCACGCATGTCTCGCAAGGACACTGTTTGTCTCGGTCCCTCCAAGGGACTGGTTGTGTTGCAGCAAACACAAGTGTGAGGCCACTTTGTGTCTGAACTTCACGTGGGCTTCTGTCAGCGGCAGAAGAAAGGCCTTGAGAATTTGTGTGTATTAGGGCTGGGCATGCTCAAATAGTCCTGTGTGGATGCTGCTGGGAAGAGGAGGGACTGGGGCACAAAGCCTGGTTTATTCTGTTTATTCTATGAAGCGATGCGTGGAATACAGGAGGAAAACAAGGCCATTTAAGAGGATTTAATTTCTCTTTTGTTTCTTCCCCTCCTTCTTCTATTCTATGTTAGTTTTTAGTGTGGAAGGGGCCCCAGAAAACCGGGCAGGTAAGCTGAGATCCTTCATGTGCTTTATTTCACAAACCTTTTCAGACATTCAGTAATTCAAGCACAGCAGGTCTGATTCTACATTTGTAAGGAGTTTTGTCACCGATTGCAGTGGGAGAGGAGCCTCTCTCTCCCTCTCCCAAAGAGTACAGCCAGTAGGTTGATGCCCAGCCCTACTAGATACCAGGCTTTTGTTGTACATACACTTGATCAGGCTTTTGAAGATCAAAGAAACAGCTGTTTTATGTCTCTGGTGATTTAGTGAATTGTTCAAGGCATAAATGAAATTATTTTTTAAAATGGGTTGGGTTCTGATTTGGTGCTAGCTGTGCTAGTAGGTGGTAGAAGGTTACTGCTCAGTATTTGTTAGGTGGCTTGCTCACAGACTGCGTTACTGTGCCCACTTTCAGATAGTGTAACATCATTAGATAGGAGATGTACTGGAAGAAAATCAGAAAATATGACTCAGGCTTTGCAATGAGTTTGTTCAGTCTTTCTCTGTATTTTTTAAACACTATATACCTACAAGGCATGATACTGGGCTGAAACGGGGGGTAATAACTACCTGGGGCACCTGAGGAGGAGGAGGGACAGGTCAGACAGAGGGGTCATTTGGTTTATAATTCCTGTCTTGAAATCTTGTTACAGATCGAAATGTCATTACAGATGCAGGAGCGTTCAGTGCCCGTGCAGCTGTAGGAGGAAAACCTGAGGGGGTTGTCAGCTCTCTTGCTGGTTCTGTTCTCTTGCAGACCCCTATGACCAGGCCGTCATAGCAGCAGATGAAGTGAAGGAGGAGGAGCCGGAACCGTTCCAGAAGATTGGTCCAAGTATGAGTTGTTATTATTATACAGCTTCAAACATGAAAGAGACAGTACAATGGTTTCAAATCTGGCATCAGCTGGACTGCTTCTGGGAAAACCAGAAAGCACTGTGTTATGCACAGGTGTTGGGACCTTAGGGGTACTGAAAGATACATTTAGGTTCAAATGAACACCAAATACCAGCAACCCTGGCCCTAAGAAATGCAGCTTTGTGATGTTCAAGGGCTCTACAAAGAGAAGAGGAAAGAGGTTCAGGAGCAGAGCAAGCTGGCAGCGATTAAAGAGTGTCTTAAGGTGCATTGGCAGAGTTGGCAGGTGATTGCATTCCCACTGCCTTCATGGTGGGTTCGTCAGACAGATCAGAGGGAAACAAAGAGAGGACAGACTTTGTTGAGGCATTTCTCTGAATTCCCCATTTTGGAAACAATTCATCCCGCTGGCAGGAGCAGGAGGTGTCAGTGTATGGTTTCACCACTTTATTATTTCAAGTAGTCCCAAAGCAGGAATTAGCACAGTCATTGCAGAAAAGCCCCTCCTCCTGCAAGAGAAATCCACAATCCAGTGTGAAAGCTCTGTCGTTAAGACTTACACTTGCCCACTTGTTTTTTAGTTTGACTGTTTCAGTTGTCCACACAGTACAGATGGTGTGTAACCAGAAGACAAAACTGTGTCATCTGACTTCAGAAATGGATTCTCTCTTCGTTTCGCGTGCTTACTTGGCTGTAATTTTGGGATAATCTCCTCTATTATTTTGGGATAATCTTCAGTTCTGTTGTACTTTTTATGCAAGGTCCATCACTGTGGACACTGGCTGTAACTGTTTCTTTTGTTGGGCAAGATGACATGGGAATTACAGGGCAGATAAGTTCCAAACACGAGGAATATTCTCTAGTTTTTGCCACCTGGCCAGTTTCTACGTAAAAAGTTGGGAAGCCGGAGATGTGCGTGAGAGGGTGCTGCACTCCTTTCTCATCTTGGTGTTTGTTTCATCTTCACAGAAACTGGCAATTACACCTGTGAATTCTGTGGCAAGCAGTACAAGTACTACACTCCCTACCAAGAACACGTGGCACTGCATGCACCTATTAGTGAGTATCCCTCTGGAGATCTATCTCATTGCAGACGCTGATTTACAGTGGTTGGTGGCAGGAGAGAGTCTCGTTCTTGGGGATCCTTCCACTGGTCCTGTGGGGTGGCCATTGGCAGGACATAGATCAGGTGCTGACCAGGGCACTCTAAAGCTGAGCTGGAATCTCCTCTCAGAGGGACACTGGTACCGCTAGGTGTTACCAAAGTCCAGGCAATTCTGTGTAGGGTCCTTGGGGGTTTGATATTTTATTTTGTTGTTTAACTGAAGGTTCTGGTACCTGCAGTGCACATAACAAAGTGATGCACAACATTTTTAGACTCCCGTAAATACTAAGTGAACGTACACGTGAGGGAAGAAGTATCTTTCTTATGAGCTTCTGAGAAATTATTTCAGACAGTGAGTTAAAGCTGGTTTTCAAAATCATGTATATTACCTTGGCAGCTTGCTACTAAATCACAGGCAATAAAATATTTATTTCAGGGAGCTCTAGGGAAGGCAGGTCTCAGCGTACTGCGCAGCACCACCATCCGCACGCTGGAGGGCCACTACGGTCTGCACTCCCCAGACAAAGGGGAGGTTTTAATGAGCAATTAAGTGTAATTTAGTGCAAAACTGTAGTAAAATAGTTGAGAGAAATTCTGTATACATGCTGGGTTTGCATGCTTTCAAAGTATGCAGAGAAGAGCTTTACTCCTGAACGTCATGCTTCGTCCGTAGCATTTGCCTGTGCTTTATTGTGATCCCACCGCTGTGAGCCCTTGGGGTTGCTCTTTGCCCATGTCCAGCTGCCAGTGTTTTGGCCGATGATGAGGATAGATGAGCTGAGCTCATGAGCTTAGTGGGTTTTTTAGCTGCTCATCCATGGCCAGCAGAGGGAGTGCACACTCCTTCCTCACCAAATTCTGCTTTAGTTAGGCTTTCAGTTATTACAATAAGGCAGCTTTCGTTTTACACATATATAGAAATAAATTGGGAACACAGTCCACCAGACTGTCACTTTTAAAGTGGTTGAGGCTTGGTGGCTCCTGGCAGCTGCCATGCAGGTTCTCTGGAGTATGGAGGTAGACCAAGATCACAGTAGAAGGTGTGATCTGAATGAACATAAAATATCTCTACCGCCATCATCACAAATTTAAGTCTTACTATCTCCCACCTGCCCAAGGGAACAAACCCAGTGCTTATGATCGCACACATAACAGTTATTCCTGAACATCCCTGCACCCACAAACTCCACCTCTTAATTCAGGTGTTTTCAGGTCCTCAGAAAAGCTGTTGGTGGTGATCAGCAGTAGGTCAATCTCACATGGATGGGCCCTCAGACACTAAGGCGTTGGTGTCTCTGCTCCACCCCTGTACAGGTGGCTCAGGAGCAGTGGGCTGTAAGGACTGCACCGAATCTGTGATCAGCAATAACAGATTCTTAGCTTCCCATTTCCAGGGGATTTATCACTATGGATATCTCTGCACCCTCCCAGCCATCAGTAGTAATAGGCTGGAGCTGCTGGTTCCAGTCTATGTTATCCAGCATGAAAAGAAAACCACAACTGTTTTTCTCTGAGAGGTATTTACTCAAGGTGGGCCCTGCAGGTCTGACTGCAGATACCAATGGTCCACACAGATTCTGCCCTTCTCCCAGTACAGAGCGGCGGCGAGGTCCTGGTGCCCACTTTTTAACTACCAGAAGCTGATTTTAGAGGAGGAAGAGGCACATTCTTTTGAATCCTGGGGTTGAAGCTGTTCTTGCACCGTGATTTCTGCAGTAACCTTTGTGAAAGCAAAAGAAGCTGCCCCTGCTGCAGACTAGCCCAGCAGTCACTGGGATGTGCAGATGGGTTTCCAGTCCTTTCAGCAAATGTCTTTAACTTTGAGGACACTTAGGACAGATCAGGATATTATTTTCATAAGGTTTAACCCCCTCCCCATAAACTGGGTTTCCAGTCCTTTCAGCAAATGTCTTTGAGGACACTTAGGACAGATCAGGATATTATTTTCATAAGGTTTAACCCCCTCCCCATAAACTTTTCTTTTTTTTTTTTTTAACCTTTTTTTTCTCCTCTCCTAGTTCCCGTGACCAGTAAGATTTATGATTTACAATGACAAACCATTAGCCCTGATGAGCACACAGGAGAGGGCATGACTAGCTCCCCAGGCAGGCTGGCCAGGACATCCTCCCACCTTTCTGGTGCTCACACTCTGCTCTTCCAATAAACCAAGGTCCTGTGAGGCAGCTGTAAACACTTGACTTTTAAAAAGCATAACTGGCTTTTCTCGTGCCCTAGAAGTCAAGTGAAGCTGAGACTGTTTTTACCCTATTTTTGTTCTTGTGGTTATAAGGTAAATGATGAAAAATAGCTGTAGTGGGAGCGGGTAAGGAAACACTTCAGCTTTCTGGGTCGTGAGTGCAAGCTTCCCTTCTGGAGCCTGTCTTTCTGGTTTTCTGTGATAATGGATAAAAAATTATTGAAAATGGGCTAAAACAAGGACTCGTTTTTGGCCAGTGCTTCTGGATACCTGCTGTGTGGAAAAGAGCTCTGCTCTGGGGCTCCCTGGAATTGTTAATGCCAAACGTCTCCTTTCAAAGTTCCCTTTTGTTAAAGAGGAGTAGGGGCTTTTTGATATGCTTAGAACTGGGCTGTTATTCTTTTAAAATACATATTCTTATGCTGTTTCTGTCAGCCTATTCACTCTTTCTGAGAAGGGTGTCAGAGGCTGTTTCCAAAAAAAGTGGACTGTAGGCACATTCATTGTCCCAGTTTTAGAAATGTCACTGAAGGGAGGTGCAGAGGGGGATGGCTCAGAGGTTTCTTTCTAACCTCCTCCAGACTCTGTCTGCTCTGTAAGACAGAACTGATTTACCAAATCTGCAGATGGCTGGGCTATTGTGATTGCTTTTAGATGATGTGCAAAGAAAATCTCATGCGTTTGGGACGTGGACTGCTTAGAAAAGCCACCAAGAGTGGTTTTTAGCTTGGTAAGTCCAGGCTCAGGAGTGTGCACTCAGCGCATCCTCTTCTGGTAACTGCAGATGAGGCAACGGACTCCATGGTCATGCAAATACGTGGTGATAGCACTAAAACCTTCCCAGCTATGCATGTCGTTTGCTTCCTGGATGAAAATATAAGCTGATGTCAGGGCCCTGAGTGTGCTAACAGGTCTTAATGACCCTGACCAGTCTCACACGGGGCGTCTGCCCACATTCAGAGCCTCTGTTTCAGGTCAGCTCTGGATCATCGGTTCCTGCTCGAGCTGCACTGAAGGATGTTGGTCTCCAGGTCAGTTGTAGACATGCCCCTGGATGCCATCGGTCTGTACCCCAACCCACAGACTGCCTGCCTAGCTTGATGTCAACCCTGTCTCATCACTCTGGACCTCCCTAAGGGTTGCTGGTCTGTGTCTGGCCCTGGTTATCCTCACCAGAGCTGATCCTGCTGCTGACCCGTGGATTGACTTCCCAGCTTGACGACAGGCGCATCTCGTGGCCATGAACTTCCTGATGATTTGGACTCTGGGTTGAACCTGGCTGTCGTTGCTGGTCCTGCCCTGCTCACCTCTCAAGGGGCTGGGGGATGGTTCCCAGCTCTCAAAGGCCCTGCCCCATGATTAAACTTGGCTCCACAGGGGACAGACAGACCTATGCCCACCCTGACACCCAGGGTGCTCGAGAAGGTTCAACAAGCCCCTCTGCTCAGTTACTTTTCTTATCATGAAGGACACTGGATATAATTTTTTTCATCCAAAGTGCTTAAAGGCAGCTGCCACCGTGGCTTTTTCTCTAAGGGAAAGGGATCCTTTTTGGTACCATGTCTAGTTTCAACACAGGTCTTGCTTCAGCAAGAAAAAAACAGATCCACATTCCAGTGGAATGGTGTGTCTCTGCTTCCTCCATTTCAGTGAGTGAAATCTGTGAGTTTGGATGTTTTTCCCACTCTGATCCCACGGTGCCTTAGCAACGCGTTCCACTGGCAATATTTGTTTATATGTATAAAGAAGGGCATTAAGAATTTGATATGTTTGAGCACAGGGCTTTTTCCGTGGAAAGACCTGTTTCCAATAGCAGAGGTTTCAGTTCAGCATGTTGAATTCCGATCCATTGTTAAAGAATCACGTTCCATCATATTCATTAAAGACCAGTTTTTCTCCAGAGGTGATGGTGTAATTCCATCTGAACCATCCGAATGGTTCCTTCCCATCCTGACAAGATCTTTATGAAAAAAATGTGATACACAAATTATCAGCCAGAATTTTTACCTGGGAAAAGGGAATTTACTGAGACAATCTGGTCTCTGTTCCGTTGTGGTGGTGCATCACGATAGTGTGGATTTATGTACCTTTAGAGGAGACACATTGAAATGTCTGCCAGATTTTCTACTCCACTGTCGCAGCTTCCTGTTCACAGAGGACGTCTTGAAGGTCTTACCAAAGACAGGAAAGCCATGAGGGACCACTGGTGTATCTGGATTGACTGGAGTAACACATGCTATAGGATTGCCTTGATTTAGTTGCTCACATGTGGTTTAGAGAGACATCTAATCTCGCCGTTAAGTGTGACAGAAGATACAGCAACCTCTTAAGGTAATTATTTTGATGAATTACTACCCTCACTAAATTAAGACTAAAAATATCCAGCTGTAGCTTTCAGGCACTGAATCCTATTTATAACTTTCTGTGCTGGGTGAAGGAGGACTAAGGTACCAAATTTCTGTCCTTGCTAGACCTGTGTTTAACCTGCTGTCAAGTCCCTTCACAGTGCCTGACCTCCCAGTTACGCCAAAGGAGTTGTTTGACGTTTCTACTGCTGTTCTTGGCCTTTAGTTATCTTCCTGCCTTCTCATTGGAATAGTCTCACCTCCGGTAACCACTGAAGGGCACTGGGAACACGAAGAGCTGACATTATCTTCCTGATCCCCTTTGAAAGTGCCCTGAACGCACACCCAAAGTACCTCAGTCTTTTTAGCTACGCTGTTGCCCTGGGAGCTTTCCTACAGCCATCACAAGTGAGAATGGTGATGAACAAGCTCTTTTTCCTGCTTCCAAGGCAGATTCCCCCATCTTTTCAGTATCACCTGTATCCCCTGTATTCTTTGGCACAGGCCCTGCCGTTCTGGACAGCTGTAGCACAGAAGACTCAGTTTACCAAGTGACTGGAGGTCATTCAGTGGGATTGATCTCTAGGTGACTCCTCTCCTGCCTTCCCTTCTCCAGTGTGCCAGCCTCAACTGGGGCATCTCTCAGATGCTTTCTGAGATAACTTCATTGCAGCAGTTACGGGACTGTGTACTATGCTGTCCCCAGTCTTGCTGTCTACCTGCAGATTTTGAGGCAGGAGGTTTTTGTAACCATTCAGCAACTCAGTGTTTTCATTTTTGTAAATATCTTGAATTTGGCTTTTCTTTAGCCTGAGGCAGCGAGTTCCACAGTGAAGAGGACTTTTCAAGGAGCTCCATGATCATTGCTGGCTGGGTTGCTTAGTCTTCACAAGGAATTTGTCATTTGACTAAAATGTCACCTGAAGACTAAAATTTATTTTTCAGTGACTTATTATCATCATCCAGCTGCTAGAACTAATATTCTTTTGTCTGTCATGCCTTGCTGGCTCCAACTCTGTCTCTGTCTCATATCAGGTGGAGCAGCCTTCTCTCTGGAGCTGAATTTAAAGACATGCTGTTTGCTTGAGTTGGTAGGAAGAAGAACTAATTTTGAAGGTCTTCATAGCATTGAGGCTTTTTTCTTCGGATCTTGGAGAGCAGTGTCTGGACCACAGAAGATTCGTGATGATGCTCTTTGTTTCTGAATAGTTGGCTGATTGCTGCTTCTCTTGGTATGGACAAGAAATAAAGCAACAACTGGTGGGAATGGGCCTCTTGGGAAACTAGATGACATGTAAACAGGGAATTGTCATATTGGACTACGTTTTTGGTGGCAGTTTGGCAGCAACCAGAGGAGGATTATCCATGGAGATTGAAGTATAGGAAGCAAAAGCAAACTTCTTGCCTATTCCAGTGGCCAGAGACCAAGCAGAGGAGAAGTATCTTGACCGAAACTATGAGAAAACCTAGTGCAAAATCTCCTGCAGAAGTGCACTAACATTTACAGAAATGTCACCTTGGAGCTGTGTATCAGATCAAGTGAAACAAAAAACTTTTCTTTTGAGTAGCTTTTTGCAAGCTGCTTTGAATGTTCCCACCCTCACTCTGCAGTGCTGCTGACAGGGAAGATGAGAGCAGTTCACATTTGAGGTCTATGATGTCTCATGGGATTTGGGAAATGAGCATCCAGTCCCACTCCGGGTGACTTTTCTCAGCTGTTCCAGAGTCAGGCTGTTGTGCTGCCATGGCAGTCTGTGAGGGAGAACTGCTCAGTGCAGATAAGTATTTCTGAATTATCCTGTATAAGTTGGACAGACACTAGAGCTGTCCAGCCAACCTCAGGCGTCCTGAAATATCCCTCTCTAGAAACTCCTCATACTGAGCTTGGGCTGTGAGTTATAGGTACCTTGTTTGTTAGTGATTCTTTATGGCGGATGGTTGGAGTGGGACCTGGGCTTCAGGAGCCACATCCAAATTTCCATGGAAGAAGCCACTGGGGAATGAAGGGGGTTGGTATTTTGTTTCTCCTTTTTTGTCATTGTTGTTTTTTTAATCCATGCGGCCTAGACAATGGGCTGTCCTCCCAAAGGTTTTTCATTTGACTTTTGGCATTGAAAATTCCTGGTGATCCTCACTGCATTGCAGAGACCCAAATGTAGATACATTCAAAGAGTTTATCCCAGTAAAATTCAGAATTTCTCCACGTGTCACCAGTACTCATCTAGAGATGGGGACCAAAAGGCCTTTCCTGACTTGCAGGATGAGAACTATGTCTCCTAATTCCCTTCCATTACCAACAGCCCTCTTTCCTTTGGTTAATGAGACAAGGAATGTGGCTGGAGATCTCTAGCATTTATGCAAGGCTCAAATAAAAAAGGTGTAAACTCCTCCCTGTTCAGAGCTCTGAGTATCACATTAGAAACCTGCTCCCCAAATTCATACTCTTACACACACGGGCATGAGGGCAGACATCAGGTACACCCAGCCAGGCTGTGGCAATCAAACAGTCCTCCTGGAAGGATGAGGTGATTCCTGCTGGAGGAGGAATGGGTTGGTCACGTTGCAGTTAAAGGTGTGGAAGGGAACTAACAACTTCAGGAATCTCTCCCCTTGGGGGAGTGGGGAAACTGGTTTTGTTAGGTGGGATCGGTGGATCCACGGCTGCTGCGGGTCCCTGTGCAGGGGCTTCACGAGCGTGGCTGTTAGAAAGCGACCCTCCTCGAAGGCACAGGGTCTGGGAGCTGACTGACTGTCCAGGCACTAGTTCTGAGTGTTCATATCCAGAGTTCTCTCGATCTCCACTCTTCGTGGCAGTGAAGACACAGGCGAACCAATCCAGCAAAAAAACACCGGCCTCAATAAACCGATGTTCTACCCTCCTGCACCGCACCCCCTCTGGTGTCCCACCCGCATCCCAATCCCAGATGTTCCGCGCTCCAAATTCTGGATCCCCAGGAAGCAAGGCCATTACAGGTACCAATTGCCTTTCTACCATCAACTTTCTTAACTGCTTAGTGTCCAATCCTGCCCTGGGTTGGCTGTTGACCCTTCCTGGACTCAGTCTGCTCCATCCATGGCTGTCCCAGAAAAGCTACTCCCAGAAGCAGTTGAGGGCATTAGATCCTTTGGCACATTACAAACTAAAATTTATATCACCAATAGGTCTTTATAACCTCTTCCCAGTGACAGGTTGGTTTTTAAAGCATGGTGCTAACCATGAGGTACAAAAGACCCTGTTTCAAATCCTGGTGTCACAAACTGAGGAACTTCCTGACAAGGATTGGCAGCATGGCTTGTCAGGTATTTTGGGGATTTTGGTTTGGTTTGCAGCTTTATTTGGCATTTAGTGTTTGTTTCCCTCGAGGAGATATTTTGAGGGTTAGACCTGTGCCTGAGGAAATGAAATCACCATTACAGAGGTGTTAGAAGACTCAAGTTAATGTTGATCTTTCCATAGTTCCCATTTCCTCCTTCCAAACAAGATCAAACATTAAAAAAATAAAAGGATAAAAAAAGAAGGCAAAGAGCACTGAGAAATAACTATTAATAAATAGGATGTGAGACATAGCATTCACGTGCCCAGGCGGGGGGGAAGCAGACTCTTAAGTCTGTGGGACTGATAGATACATATTCCATCCCAGTAGAGAGGAGGGGCTGGTTAATCAGCTGGCGTTTAAATGCCCCAGGAATGTCTGGCACGGACAGATGCCAGTCACAGAGGTGGCTGTGGTGGCTCCAGGCCACAGGATGCTGAACAGGGATGTGTTGTCAGTGACACACACATCTGCAGCTGCCAGGTGTTGCAGTGAGTGACCTGTCTTCTTACAGCTTTTGAGTTCTGAGAAGCCATGGTGTTATTGCACCTCCGAAACATTTATGTGATTTATTACTAATTTGAGGTCCATCCAGTTCAACCAAGTCAGGAGTTAAAGCTGAGAAACCTTTCTCATTATTATACTTAACCTTGCAACAGCTTCTTCCAGTTTCCAAAGTGGAAAAACTGGGAGCCTTCCTGGGTCAGAGGCCAGATTCATCTGAGCAGTAACGGGGAGAAGTTTTTTGTAAAGGCACTTCTTTCCCACCACTTCTCTAATCAAAAAGAACGTCAGTACCTTGGGTAAAAACTGTGAGCTGTTCTCTTCCTGTATGGAGGAAGGAATCACGTGGTGCTTGAGCCTGGTAGATTGATCTTTGAGAATATTAGGCTGGGGGTCCTACCCTGTTTCTCTGGTGGCGTCATTTCCGTGGTGTCTTGTATAAATGAATCTGAGCAGCTTCTGGAATTTCTGGTACAAATGCCTTGACCATAACACCTATCAGGAAGACAGTCTCCAGAAGGGATGCCTTCCAAGTGCTGTGGTTCCAGGTGTTCCACATGGGCCTGGATGATACCAGGGAGGGTGCAGTGCCACTCCACTGACAGTGTTTGCACAGACACTTAGTAGGGTGGCACTTAGTTTCTCTGTACAGATAATTTTAATTTGCATGCAGAAGGTTCAGGTACAAGGAAAGAGAAAGAGAACTTTTGTCAGCTGCCTTCTCCTGTGTGGGAAGTACAAGGAGATGCATTAAGCCAGATTTTGGTTAATACCAGACTTGGGGAAAAAAACAAACAAACAAACAAAACCAAAAAAAACCAAAAACCAGAGAATGAGGACAAAACTACCAAGCATATTTTTTCAAAACATTTTTTGAGACCTCCAGCTCACTTTCACTTGTGACGTAAGCCAGGATTTGAACCTGGGTCTCTTGGTGGGTAGTTGGGCTAAGCAATCCATGTCGTCGGTCATTTTTCCCACTGGGCCATCTGATGTTCTAGGCCTCTCCTTCCTGTTTCTGTCTATGGAGAGGGATGGAATACCTAAGGTCCCCAGTGCCTTTTCAGACCTGTTTTATGTGATTCTGGTTTTCCTGATTTGATTACCAAGTTTTCCTGTTCTCCTGCATTTTAGAAAGAGTTAGGAATGCAGTAGATGGTAGAGAGTTTGAGAGGCCTGTTCAGGATCACTAAGGATTGGCTGGACCAGTATTCCTGGGCTGGGAGTTTCATGCAGCTGAGGTCTTTTCTACCCACATCAGACTTGAAGCCCATGTATCTGAGCCCACCTTGGGCACGGCAGGGCTGTGGGGCTGCAGGGAGCTGCAGGAAGGTCATGATGGCAGTTCTGACCACTCCAGTGATCTGCAGAGATACATCATGAAATAATGATCTGATACCAATTCTCAACAGTCCCTGTCACTCCTGAAGGAAAGATTTCTTTCCCCCTGCTCCCTCCCTGTACACTTGGCACACACTGAGCCTGGCAGAGACTTGCTGAGCCACATTCAGATGAACCCGTAGTGTGACAGTGGGCTCCACGAATGAGTTCATGTGTGGTAAGAGTCTGTAGAGCAGAGACCTTACACATTAGTTTGGCCAGTTCGCCTTCCATTTTATTTATTTCTGGTTTATCCTTTGAGTCACTACAGTAAATACATTTGCCCCAATATTGCAAAGTTGAAGTGAGATGAGGCCTCACACTATTTGTGCTGTTGAAGTTGTGCTGAGGGACACCAGCTTGAGAAGGTGGGAACTGCTCAGCTGTGATGTCTGAGGACACCGCAGCTACTGCCAGGGTGAGGAACCACCTCCAAGAATGGAGGATCCTCCCGTTCCTGGGAAATAGCCCTGTGCTCCTGCTGAGGTGTGCGAAGGCAGTGCCCTGCCGAGAGCACGGGCTGACGGCACGCTGCGGAGGAGCAGGCCCTGCCTGCTTGGCCCTGGGAAGGGGTGGGGTGGCAGGTTCACTGCTGGGAAGCACAGAGGACCAGAGGATCTGCTGTAGCTTTTGCAGCCATCGCCAGCAGGTTCTGAGACAGCCCTTCAGTCCTCCTGGCACCTCTCCGGGTGGGTGCTGAGGAAGGGAGTGCAGGACACTGGGAAGCACAGGGAGAGCTGGCACAGGGCTTCCCTAGGTGACATTCTATATGTTGTGGTAAGGACCCGAGTTCAATCTGCGGGTCTGGTCACCTGTGCGAGAGGCTTCAAGGGCTGCTTATTTTCTTAAGGAAAAGGAAGATAAGGGTTGGGGTTTTTTGCAGGGGAGAAAGCCACAATCCTTCTGGTTCAGTCAGGGCTGGTGTTGATGGGCTCCCTAAGAGCCAACCCAGGCCACCTCAGCCAGAAGGTATTCCAGAAAAATCTCTGCCTGTTATCCCTTCAGTGAATCTGGCCCATTTGCCTCCAAAATAAGATATTTGACCTTTCTGCTGCATTCAGGGTATGTGATGATGTGGTGCAGGAGCGCATTGTCTTGCTTTCTGTCGTTGTGGTTGTGTGTCCTGTATTGACCGCTCACCATCCCTGCTTTCTTCTCCACCCAGCAGAAAGTGCTTTCAGCAGGAGAGTGGAAGGCAAAGCGCAAAACAACTTTGAAGAAACAAACAGCAATTCCCAGAACTCCAGCGGTAAGTGTGTTCGTTCCCTCCTGCTGTCGCTTCCCATGTCCCTCTCCAGAGCAGGACTCAGCCGTGACCGGTGATTGTTTGTATATTTGGGTACCTTCTTCCACCTTGCATGCAACTGGGGTATTGCCCTCTTCTCAATAGCCCCAGGTTCCTGGCACTCCAGAACCTGTGAAAAATGATGATGTGGGGATCCTGCTCCTGAGGTCCCTGTACTTTAGCACAGATTTGTCAACAGGGAGCCGAGATGTAAAGAAAGGGGAATATGGATGGAGATAAAGCAGAACTCGTTCTTTGTCTGTGCATCAGTGAAATCCTTGTGAAGCAGAGCCATTCGCAAGCAAGAGAAGTTGGAGCCCTATGAGTAGAACAGCAGTTTGCATATTACAGTGATGCTAAATGTGGCAGTTTATTTGCACATCGCTGTAGCCTGAGTCCATCTGTTTATGAGTTTGCTACATGGAGGTCACAGCATGTCGGATGTGATCATGTGGGACCAGAATACATGTGCTAGAAGGAATTAAAATTTACCCCATTTCTGGAGTTCCCTTTGAGTTTTAAGTCCAAGTGGTAGTAACTAAACAGAACCATTGGCCTAGACACTATTTTTAGAGTTTTCTTCACAAGATTTTTGTCCTGCCAGTGTTTTCCCATGCCTTCAAGTGGGACACTGCTATTCTCTTGCACTCCCTAATTGGGGTACAACAGATAGGCCAGATGAAATGTAATTTCAGCATCCTGATGCAGAGATAAATAACATGCCAGCAGAAAAGGCTGGCCTCTCTCCATTCCCCATTCAGGAGTACCAAACCGTGTGGCATTGTGACACTGGAAAGGACAGGGGAGGGAGGGGATTGCTCCCTGGAGCGGGTACACTGCATCTGGCTGGGAGGGGAGGTTTGTCTGCCTCTGGAGTAAATAAGGGACTTTGTGGAACCATGTTGAAAAGGAATTAAGTGGTGTTGGAAAACCCACGTGTGGTAGCAGAGTGGGTGATAGTGAATGGGGAAAAAAGTTGTTTGTTACTAAAATACTGTGTATTATGTTTGGGGGAACAATCCTGTACTAATCCAAGCATTCACCACAATTACAGCTGTTCATTCGGGAACAGAAAAGCCTAAAGAAAAGAGGTGTAAGCAGAACCCATCAGGTGAGCTTGTCTCTGTGTTTCAGGCCTTGTATTCTTTAGTCCTGTGCCCCTTGGGCAGCAAAGTCAGGAATCCATGGGGGCTGCCAAGCCTGTCCTCAGACAGCCCAGCCAGGCTCTTAGACGTGACACACAACTGTAGGTCACTGACTGCCCCGAGTTACTGGCCTGACTCGCTGCTCTGAAAGTGGCCACTTGCCTCTCAGCAGGTCTGCTCCTCATGTCTTGTCTTCTATAGGTAGTAAGAGTGATTTGTCTGAAGGGTTTCAAAGCCTTTAAGTGCGTGTCTTTAAGTGCCAATATACCCTTTGGGTTCCTGGCTCCTTAGAAAGCAGCAGCCTTAGATTGTTCCTTTTTCATTCCTGTTGAGCCCTGTGGAGCCTACAGAGGAACGGCAGAATCATCCTCCTTCCTATCAAACAGCTCTTCTGTAAAGCCGAGGAAGCTTCAGGAGGGGAAAAGAACCTGTAGCCTGGGAGAGGTCCAGGAACCACTGCCAGGAGGCACACACAAAGAGAGTGGCTGTATTGAATAGTCCGAGACTTTAGTTCTGTCTGAAATGCCGTTAAATACTGACCCATCGTTGCTGTGATGCATCTCTCAGATTGTCCCTGCCATCTCCTTGTACCAGCTCACATCACGCTCATCCTTCTGAACCTGTTTCTTTCTGAACTGCAGCTTTTAAAGGACATGAGTAAAAACTCACAGTAAAAATCAAAACAAAGCCAAACAAACAAAACTCACAGTAAAAATCAAAACAAAGCCAGAAATTCTTACAAAATGAGTAATGAGTTTCATATGATTTGCTCGTCGTATTTCGTTGCAAGAAGCGTTTCTGTCTACAGCACACGTATGGTCAGGGTGTTTTAGTGGCTGAGTCCAGAGCCTGGCGGGCTGAGGGTGGTAGCAAGGTGCTCACTTAAACCTTTGTTTGAGGCAGGAAACCCAAGGAGCTGGAGCGAGCTGTGCAGGACTGGTTTGAGGGGAGCTGGGCTCTGGCTGGAAGCAGTTCTTTTCTGCATTGGGCAGCTGACACACTCCTCCAAGGCAGGCTGGGCTATGGGGACGGATAAGCTTCTTCCCTTTGTCCCCTTCCTGTATCTATTCTGCATCCTCTTTTCTCCCTTAGCCTCCTTCCTGCCTTGACTCCATTTTTGTGCTGCTTCCTCTGTGTCCCATTCAGTGCTCTTTTCCAGCTCTTGCACCAAGCCATTTCTTCTCTTTTATTTGTCTTTGCTCTCAGGAGTCAGTGCAAGTGTTTTCATTGATGGCAGCCCAAGTGAGCCTCACCATTTCACACTGGGAATGATACCAGTCATTAGATTTGTCTGAAGGGTTTCAAAGCCTTTAAGTGCGTGTCTTTAAGTGCCAATATACCCTTTGGGTTCCTGGCTCCTTAGAAAGCAGCAGCCTTAGATTGTTCCTTTTTCATTCCTGTTGAGCCCTGTGGAGCCTACAGAGGAACGGCAGAATCATCCTCCTTCCTATCAAACAGCTCTTCTGTAAAGCCGAGGAAGCTTCAGGAGGGGAAAAGAACCTGTAGCCTGGGAGAGGTCCAGGAACCACTGCCAGGAGGCACACACAAAGAGAGTGGCTGTATTGAATAGTCCGAGACTTTAGTTCTGTCTGAAATGCCGTTAAATACTGACCCATCGTTGCTGTGATGCATCTCTCAGATTGTCCCTGCCATCTCCTTATACCAGCTCACATCACGCTCATCCTTCTGAACCTGTTTCTTTCTGAACTGCAGCTTTTAAAGGACATGAGTAAAAACTCACAGTAAAAATCAAAACAAAGCCAGAAATTCTTACAAAATGAGTAATGAGTTTCATATGATTTGCTCGTCGTATTTCGTTGCAAGAAGCGTTTCTGTCTACAGCACACGTATGGTCAGGGTATTTTAGTGGCTGAGTCCAGAGCCTGGCGGGCTGAGGGTGGTAGCAAGGTGCTCACTTAAACCTTTGTTTGAGGCAGGAAACCCAAGGAGCTGGAGCGAGCTGTGCAGGACTGGTTTGAGGGGAGCTGGGCTCTGGCTGGAAGCAGTTCTTTTCTGCATTGGGCAGCTGACACACTCCTCCAAGGCAGGCTGGGCTATGGGGACGGATAAGCTTCTTCCCTTTGTCCCCTTCCTGTATCTATTCTGCATCCTCTTTTCTCCCTTAGCCTCCTTCCTGCCTTGACTCCATTTTTGTGCTGCTTCCTCTGTGTCCCATTCAGTGCTCTTTTCCAGCTCTTGCACCAAGCCATTTCTTCTCTTTTATTTGTCTTTGCTCTCAGGAGTCAGTGCAAGTGTTTTCATTGATGGCAGCCCAAGTGAGCCTCACCATTTCACACTGGGAATGATACCAGTCATTAGAGAGGCCGTGGATGTCTCCACAGTCTCTGTGTGCTGGAGTGTCCAAGCAGAGCTCTTGGGAACTTCCTTTTTGGAGAGCTGACATGCCCGTACCTCCATTCTCCTTCTTTCCATGGCTGTGTTTCAGTAGGTGGGAGAAGCTCTGGGTGGCTCCGTGTTCAGGTGTGTGAACTCCTGGGAGAAATGGTGACATTCTTGGCTTGTCCTCTCTGGTGCTCCAGCCAAGGAGATTTCACACAGGCAGGGAGCAGCTGGTGATAATGTGGCTGAGAATGACAGAAGGACGGACACTTCTGTCCCCCCCACTCCCATCTGCTGCTTGTCACCAAACTCCTCCTGCTGTAAATAATCCCCAGGTTTAGGAGATAAATGTAGGTCCCAGTTGCGCAGCTTGAGAGCTGTGTGGCTTGGTCTTGTTAAATGCTTGATTCCCTGTGCTGCTTGCTCTCTGGATGTGAGTTCAGTGTCGGTTACAGTGATACCAAACAGAGCAGCAGGAATTTTTTAGGCCACCTGGCCGGGTCCATTATGCTTTTTCCTTGTGTTACCATCTTGACATGCAGTGCCACAGGCGCTTTGTGTCAGGAGTGAGGGGGAGGAAAAGCAAAGCAGGAAGGTCAGCAGCTGAGGCCACCTAAAATAGTGGTGGATACAGCGCTTTAGGTAGTCCTAAGGGGGAATAAGGCAACTAGAAGGAAAAATGTTGGATTTCAGATGTCTCTTCCCTGTGCACAGCCCCAGTCCTTGGCATAGTGAATGCAGGTACCTGGTATCCTTATCTGAGTAACCTGGCATCTTACTGCCCCTAAAACAGCAACAATTCCTGTTCCACATGGCAAACCCTGCTCTGGGGCTGCATTTGAGTCCCTCTGCAGCAGAAGGTCCTTTCCCAGCAGGGCCTGATGGAGCCACAGAGTGGATGAAGAAGGGCTGTTCAGCTGCGGTCCACCTGAGAGAGTGTCCTTTGTATTCATGGGAGAGAGTCTCCACAGCCCCTTAAACTTGCTGTTTGATTAAACCTGGAAGTTTCACAATGTTTAAAAAATAGTATCTGCTAAAACCTGTAGGTTGTTTCCTTGTGCCACTTCTGGAGCACGAGCAGCCAACACAGAGGTCCCAGGTTTCGTGAAGCTTGTGATGATGTACTGCTGAAGTCAGCAAGGTGCAGACAACGCCATGACCTGATCCCCAAAGATGGAATTGGCTCCCTGCGATGTGTAAGCTGTTAATCAGCTGAGATGCTGTAAAGCTGCTTTCAAGAAAACATTCCTCAGTGGTGGTCGTTTCACTGAGTCTTGACGTGTGCGGGGTTTTTCTGTGCTAAATTCCAGAGGATCTTTGCCAGCTTGTGAAATAGTCTTCCTGCGACAGCTGGTGATTATCAGCCTGAGTGTGGGAAGGAAGAAGCCCCAGGAAGGGGCAAATGGGTGTCTTGTGGTCAGTAGTGAAGGTTTCCTGCCTTCCTCTTCCTCCACGTGCAGCTGGCGTTTGGCTGGGGCTCGGCAGACGTGGCCCCGTGGTGCCGTGGGGTGGGACCCCCAGGTGGTGCTTCTGAGGCCTTGGGGTCTCTCCATTACCTCACTCTTTGTCTGACTTTGGAAAGCCTCAGTTGGAACATCTCTAACTTGGTGTTCACAGCATGATCCAGCCTTGATTGGGTGTTTTGGACACTAGGGATGACTCCCAAGTAAAATGAAGAATTTGCAGTTACACCACCTGTAGGCCAAGAGGGATGAAGGAAGTTGTGAGACTTTAAGAAGAAAAACAAACAAAGCAAAAAGGAAAAACAAAAGTTCTTTAGTTTAATAACTTAAAATACAGCCATTAAAGGAAAAAATCTAATTGAAATTGACAGTATTTATTGGTGTCTAAACTTGCTGGATGTTACAAATGTGAGAGACACAAATCTAAAATTATGTAGGGAATTGGGAAATATTTTTAACTTTCAAGGTTGATTTAAGCTGTGTAAATATGTCTCAATCTGCTGCATTAGGTAACTATTACTGTCATAAGTTCCAGTGGAGCAAATTTTAGCATTTCCAGTTTTTAAAATGTCAGTGCTTTTCATTCATATTTACACAGGGAAGCTTTTTCCAGCAGCGTTTATTTCAGGCTGGGGAGAGGGAAAATACCTTCTTTTTTGAATCAGTTCATGCCAAGCTGAGGTGAGATTGAGATGAAAAAAAAAGTTAATTTCCTTCTTTCGATTTGGAAGTACAAATTTTTGGAAAAGACTGAGAAGTTCCAGTTCTGAAAAATTAGAGGACATAAGAGCACATTTTAAACACACGCTTAGTGGGATTTCCTGATTTTATATGCTGTGTTTCTTTTTAGTGAACCAATTTGAAGTGCAGAACATTTTTCAGTAGTGCGTTTTATTTTCCTTCGTATGCAGCACACTTAAGGTAGTTATATTTACCTAGTGAAAATGTACACAAGCAACTTCCTACAGTATATTATGGATCCTAATTCCCATCCAGTTGTAGCATGGAACTGTTTCAAGGAGAAGGATAATCAGAAATGTCTCATTTGCCACTTGCTGCATAGACCCAGTATTTTTAGTGTGTGTTAAACAGCGCAGTCTCTTAAACAGCAATAGGCTGTTACTGTCTTGCTTAGCGACTGAGCAGAAGTAACCTTCAGTTTTAGGGAAAGCAGCAAAAAGGCAGAGTGCAAATCAGGGATAAACTCATGACATCAGTCTCTTCTGCAGCTTGCTTTGGGGGTGATGGGGGCAGCGTGAGCTCCCCGCACAGGAGCTCCGCTCCAGCCCTTGTGCTGCCATGTCCCGTAGAGCTCCCCAATGGAAGGTCATAAGGTCCCATAGAGTACCCCAATGGAAGGTTAAGAAGGGCCTGTAGAGCACCCCAATGGAAGGTCAGACTGAGACACCCAGCGGTGGCTACTGCCCGGCTTCTGGGATGAAGCAAATTGCATTGTTGTGTTGAGACTGTTGTCAGTGTTACTGTGTGTTCCTGAGACTGGAGTGGGTGGATGGTCTCACTACAGTGAGGATGTTCAGGTCCTCAAACCGCCAGTGAGTCCAGAAAGGCTGGTTTGCACTGAAGGTGCTGGTGTCACGGTGCACACACGGAAGGAGTCAGCTGGGTGCTTTACAGACACTGAGATCTTCCTCCTCCTCTGTTGTTGGCCACATGTCCTCTTCTGCTCATTCTCTGTGGTCCAGTAATCATAAAGCACATCCACATCTGGTTGGATTGCTTCTGGAAGACATGACTTTCCGGCTGGGACTTTTGGGTGAACACAGCTTCAATGTTTGGGGCATAATAATTCTTGGTTGTTGATTAGTCTGATGTTGGCCCAGGCGGCCCCCCTCTGCCTCCTGAGAGGCACCCAGCTGTCTGGCCCGTTATGTCAGAAGGAATGAAGCACAAAGTACAAATCTCACGCAAGTGCTTCATCTTTTGGTGAACCTCTTTCTCATCTCTTGGTTGGTTTGCAAAGGGTACAAGCCTGCTACTGCTTCCTTTCAGTGCACTGGGAGATCCAAGCCTGATAATGACCGAGTCCGAGGAGTGAGGAAAGGGGGCAGATTGTCATTATGTGAGCAACCTTGTTGTCCTAACAAAGTTGTGCAGGGAACCAGTAATGCTGGCCATGGGGCGACACAATTGCACATGTGTAGAGCTGCGTTTCTCAAACCAGCCTAAAAATGGTGTCCCCAGATGAGGGATTCCCATCTGAGTGCAGTTCTCACCATTAGAAGAAGAGTGACACAGGGAGAGGCTCCAGTTAATAGTGTCACTTGCTCCATTGCATAAATGTGAGTTGCTGTGTCAACAGGGCATTTGCATGGAATTCGGGTCCCCATCCTGGGCTACATCAAAAGCAGCATGGCCAGCAGGACAAGGGAGGTGTTTCTGCTCCTCTGCTCTGGTGACACCCCACCTGGAGTCCTGTGTCCAGCTCTGGAGTCCTCAGCACAGGAAGGACATGGACCTGTTGGAACGGGTCCAGAGGAGGCCACAAAAATTATCAGAGGGATGGAGCACCTCTGCTGTGTGCACAGGCTGAGGGAGCTGGGGTTGTTCAGCCTGGAGAAGAGAAGGCTCCGGGGAGACCTTATAACCACCTTCCAGTACCTGAAGGGGCTACAGGAGAGATGGGGAGGGACTATTGATCAAGGAGTGTAGCGATAGGACGAGGGGGAAGGGTTTTAAACTGAAAGAGGGGAGATTGAGATGAGATCTGGGGAAGGAATTCTTTGCTGTGAGGGTGGTGAGAGCCTGGCCCAGGTTGCCCAGAGAAGCTGTGGCTGCCCCATCCCTGGAGGGGTTCAAGGCCAGGTTGGAGGGGGCTTGGAGCAACCTGGTCTGGTGGGAGGGGTCCCTGCCCAGGGCAGGGATTGGACTCAGTGATCTTTAAGGTCCATCCCTTCCAACTCTAATCATCCTATCCTATGATTTCTGGTGCCATGTTTATTTAAGTTGTTCCAGACTTGCTGTGTTGAACAGGCAACTTGTAGACAGGAAGAAGGATGGCTGAGTTAAAATAACCACTCAGCAGCAACTCTTTGGGAGAAATCCTACCAATTGCTCAGGAGCTCTGGGACATGGGGAAGGACATTGAGGGCAGAGTGTGAGCTGTCAGCAAAACTGGGAACAGACAGCAGCGATGTGAGGTGTGGATTGCAGTGTTCAGGCACAGATACTGGGCTGGGGCTGGGCAGGACATGGCAAAAAAGGTCTCTGATAGAATGATATATGGGGGAGAAAAAGGTGAGCTCCTGCTTCAGTTTTGCCTGGAGGATTTGGGCAATGAAAGATCAGCAGATCCCTAAAGCAAGCCAAATTATCATTAACCATCCAAACTATGACACTTCCATGACTGTTGGCTGCGGTGGAACTGACTGTGCTAAGGCAGGGACGCTCCGGTGCATGGATAACAAAATAGCCCATAATAGAAAGACCAGAATAATCCCAGCAGTCTTTCTTCACTTAAAATACTGTGGTAGCTGTGTTTAGTGAGTGGCCTGAGCTCTGGTTGCAGAGTGACAGAGGTTTTCATGTGTATAAAAGTCAAGTGTAAGGAGGAGGCTACATAGGTGTGTCTGACGGGGATTCTGCGACTGGAAAGCAGCCGGCAGGTGTGTGAGGGTTCCCTGCGGTCTGTTAAGGGTGTGTGGCAGTGCTGTGTGCTGCTTCCAGATCAACTTGACTTCTAGGGGGATGATAAAATGTCGGGTTTTGGCCCTCAAAAGCTTACTTGCCTCTGGGGTGCTGAGAGAGCCCTTTAAAGCCTGAAGCCCTGGGACAATCCAGTAGGAATCCATGTGCTCACTGAATAAGTACAGCACTTCCCAAAGCAGGGGCAGAGAGCACAGACAGGGAAAGAACGGTACCCAGAGCAGTTTGTCCTGCTCAGCTGCTCAGTAGGACCAGATTAGGAACCTGTTTCAGTGAAGATCTTCCTCCAGATACAAATTTCCTCAGCTGCGAATGGTGCTCTCGGTGCAACGCTGGGTAACAAGTGTGTTCAGCGTCAGCAGCGATCGGTACCCGGCCGGGGCCTTCATGCGTTCCCTTCCCATAGCGCTGTCTATTCATGTATTTGCCAAGCATCATCCATGCCTTCATCTCCATTCCTTACTGGCTGGCCCTGGCAGCTGAAGCCCCCTTCAACAGCTTCATCACGTTGAAATATTTAGCACGAAGGCTCACTGTGCTTGACCTGTGATGAAGTGAAGTTTTCTTCCAAGGAAACCAGTCCGGGTCTGTCCACCCTGAGAGCCTCGCTCACCCACGTGTCAATTCATAACTTCGGACCTGGGACCATTCTGTAAATACTCTGAATATTCAACACTGATGGTTTCTCCCCCTCTGCAGGGGTTTAACACTAAAGGACGTCACCTGGAAACCTGCAGGAAGCACAGAGGGTGTGAGGTGCTGGGAATCACCGCTTCTGCTCCAGTCCACTGTGGGGCAGATGCAGATGGCCCCTGGTTGACCAAGGGCTCGTTGAGCATCCAGGGTTTTCGTTCCTTTCAGTCACAGCTTAAAGAGGGGAGATCTGCAAGGTGTGCTTGGCAGAAAATGTGAATTCTCAGCCCGATATACCGTGCACTGCTTAGGAACTCTCTCCTTTGGCTACTGTCCAGTGGGGCTGAAACACCTTGGTTTCCCTTCCCAGCTTCCCTTTGAGGAAGCTGCACAGTGAATCTGGGAATTTCAATCTGGAGCCCCCAGAAAAGGCATTTGTAAAGGATTTCTCACACCCTTAGCTTTTCTTCTGCTGGCCCTCCCCACAGAATGTTTCCATTGCTGTAGCGTAGGGTGTACACTAAAACCTCTGGACGTTTCAGAATGGGAAGGGAAGATGCAGATTCCAAGCTATGAGAAACTTCTCAAGACACTGAGAGAGAAAATTCACAGCTGGACTTGTCATAATTTGCAGTAAACAGAGACCCCCATCCTTCCAGAGTTAAATCTGGGAGTGCGGTGTAAGTACAGGGATCAGGGAGCAGACAGCAGAGCTGTGTAGCGTGCAGCGGGGTCTCTGCCAATCTCAATATTTAAATCTCTTTCTTTTTTGCAGAAACCGCAAGTCCCCTGAATTCAAATCCCTTCCCGATTTTACAAAGTAAGTGTGATGGATGTCTGTGGTGCGCAAAGGCAGGGACTTCCACTCTGCAGCCCTGCTGGCCTACCCTCTTAGCATTTTTCATGAGTAAATGGGTTTTTTTTTATTGTGAGTCCAGGTGTCAGAAACAAAATGCCTCACTTCTGTGGGTCTGGTTTCAGATCTAAACGCAACAGAAATCCTTCAGGGCGTTTCTGGGCAGTGTGTTGTTGCTGGACCATTTAGACTCTCAGCCTCCTGGGAGCTAAGTTTTGTGAAATATGCCCGTAATACGTGTTCTGAGAGAGCCAAGATTTGAAGACTGAAGATGAATCCATGTTTGAGTTACATTTATGTGCAGGAAACCTTGTCTTCGTGGCTGAGCTCCCTGCACACCTCTGCAGAGACAGTTCCCTCTGGCCTGAGAGCCCGGATGTGGAACGGGAGCCCAGGATGTGGTGGGAGCAGCAGGAGGGGAAGGGGAGTGGGTTGGGGATGGGTGGACACAGGTGGTCTCTGCCCAAGGTTATGCCCTGTCTCCTTGATGCTTCCAGCAGGTGGATCTTCTCCCTTTCCCTCATGGTGTGGTCGGTCACTGCTTGGCTATGTCTGGATTTTAGGGTGACACTGTCTGTGCCAGCCCCAGGACCACTGTCCCTTGTTGTGGGACAACCCTGAGAGTGGCACCCTCAGCAGGACCATGGTGGCGAAGGGTGCTTGTGCTTTCTCCACTTACAAATCTGAGAAAACATGAGAGCTTGAGTCAGAACATGAGAGTTCACCTTGAAAGAGAAATCAGATTAGTGCCAACAAATTTAAGAACCGTGATGTATTCAGGACTCCCCTTTTTAAAGCTGATTTCATAGCTCCTTCTTATGTAGCAATTTTATTGGCTAAGATGAGTGGCAGTGACAGAACTTCTGCTTTCAAGAAACTTCCACTTACTTTGGGGTGTGATGGTGCTTTTCTCGGAGACTGCTCCTGATTCTAATATATTACTTCATCGGTTTGTGTCAAAGGTAGGGGAAGATGCAATTACACTGTTACTACAGCTAAAGCCAGTGGAAACACAGGGTGAAAACACTGAGGGGTTTCCCTTACAGTTCTTCTGCAGTTGGTTTTCATCAAAATGTGGACAAAAGTGTTGAAATGTGGGTCCTTTCTGTTAGACGAGAGCTGCCCGGGGCTGCTCCCTGCGCTGCCGTCGGCTGAGCTGGCTGCTGGGTTTGCTCCTGCACAAGCAGCTCAGGGCGTTCTCTGTTGAAACTTTCTGTTAAAAGCTCTCAACTCATGTTCCCTCCTGGCCTCAGCCCAGGCTCTGCTGTTTTCTCTGGCTTAGATGTGGCAATGAGACTTAACATGGGAATTAGAGTGATTTATTTAACCCAAGCACAAGTGCTGGTTTTTCTCTGTCTTGGCTTACAGCGCCTGCTGCCTTACTCTGGAGCCTTGGTCGCTGGGTATATATAAAGCACTAATAAAAGTGTCTAATAATAGCCCTGGGGGAAGATGTTTTAAATTGTGTAACCAACTGTGAGTGTTAGTTCTGTGAGGCTCAAGAAGCTGAAGATGCTTCAGCAGCTTCTGGTGCTTTAGGTTCCTGTCAAGGTGTTTTCAGAGAGTTCCTGGGCAGCCGGTAAGGGGGAGGTGATGGCATGGCTCCCTCAGAGCAGGGGCACCTGGCTGGCAAAGGACGTCAGTGTTCCTGGGGAAGGATGCTTTCTGGGGAGAAGGAGTGCTTTGTGCTCAGCAGCCAGCACCTGGTACACCACAAACGTCTTCTTTTAGGGGAAGAAAGCTCTTTGGTGCTGGACAGGACAATGAAATGCCGTTGCTTGGGGATACTGCAATGTTTGAGTTTCAGACAGCTTGCAGGAGGTGTTAGAAGTGCCCTGGGATGGGCGTTTGCAGCTCCAGTGGAACTTCATGCAGTGGATTTTCTTGTGCTCTCCTCTACACAACCAATCTACGCTGAGGAAAAACCCGAGAAGAGGAGTCAGACCCTGCTGAGATCAGCTGGCTGTGGAGCAGCCCTTTTCTGCTGCAGACAAGACATGTTCAGGGTGGCCTCTTCCTCCTCCCAAATTTTCAAGTATTTTGTCTCAGAATTGCTGTTCAGAGTCAGGATCCTGACGATCCTGAGTGAGATCCTCAGGTTGCTGGAGAGAGCATCTCCGGAGCTGCCGCTTCAGAGCTGGGCACCTCCGGGCACCGGGGTCTGTCCCTCTGCACGGCGGGCAGCGCGGGGACAACGGGGTCTGTGCCATGGGGTGGGCAGGGAGGGAGAGGGGACCAGAGGAGGAAGGAGATGGGATAATATGGTGGGTGGGCAGAGCTGCGGAGCAGCGCAGGTGCTGTTCAGCCCGTCCTCTTGTCATACACTCCGTGTTGTACCCTCTCCCCTTCTCCTCCCGTGTCCTGCGGACAGGTTTCACCCACCCAGCATTTGCTGTTTCATGCACAGAGTTTCTCCTGCCAAATTCAGGCTGCAGGATTGCAGAAGGCTTCTGAACGTACAGCAACAACACAGAGACAGAGAGACCCACAGGGCTGATGCTGCCTGAATTCTCTGATGGGGCAGTTCATGATTTCTTACCCTTTTATGAAGACTTAGAGCCTGTTTCCACCCCTTCGGCAGCTAAGCCTCTTGCCTGCAGCAGGTCCCAGAGGAGCAGCATGTGCCAGGGGCCAGGCAGAGCCATTCTCCCTGTTGCTTCCCAGGTTCTCCAGCTTGTCCTGCTACTGCAGAAAAGTGCCTCACAGCTGTGACTGAGTCTGAACCTGCGGGAGAGCTCAGGATGTATCCCAGGGCCTGCAGAAATGCAGTATCTCCGACTGCTGCCCGAGCTGCACAGCTCTGGTGGTGGCTGTGTGGAAAGCTTGCTTTCTGGAGGTGGATGGAGGAACAACAGCAGCCTGACATTTCATCTTCTGAGACGTTTAGTCAAGTGTGAGAATGCTGGGCTACAGGTGGTAGCTGGGTACAGGTGGTACTCTACAGGTAGAGTTGAGTGGTGTAGGATTTCAATGGCTTGCTTGTTAGTGTGAAGGTTTTGTAGGGTGCACTAGTGACAGTAGCAGAAGCTACAGTCTGCTGCGTGCAAATGGCAGGACCTCGTGCCTGGTCAAGACAGCAAGGGATTTCAGTCCACTGCTGCGTGCAAATGGCAGGACCTCGTGCCTGGTCAAGACAGCAAGGGCAACCACAGCTCGGGATTTCAATCCGGAAAGGGGGAGTGCTCTGGAGGCAGCCACAGGGAGCTCTGCCTGTCTCCTGCCACCTCCCATGGCTGTGTGAGGTGAGCTTTGGGCTCACCCTCCCTCCCCATCACCCGGCTGCTGTAGGGTGAGCTGTGGTTTCTAGGAGTGAGCTGTGGCGACAAGGAAAGGAAGGGAGAGCTTCTCATGTACCCTGGTGAATTTGTCCTTCACTCCCTTGAGTTACAAGTGTGAAGGAAGGTTGTGTGAGTGCTTTTGCTCAGTCTTCTCATGCACCCTGGTGAATTTGTCCTTCACTCCCTTGAGTTACAAGTGTGAAGGAAGGTTGTGTGAGTGCTTCTGCTCAGTGATATGGTTTAGTGATGTTTTTTTGTCAGTGTTTTCTGATTCTATGGTAGTGCTGCAGCCCTGAGTGTCCACTGGAAACTGGTAAGGTCTTGGGATGATGTACCCCACGTCCTGTACCAGTTTGGGAGGGCTGAGGATATGGTTTAGTGATGGTTTTTTGTCAGTGTTAGGTTGATGGTTGGACTAGATGATATGAAATGTCCCTTCAAACCTAAGCAATTTTCTGATTCTATGGTAGTGCTGCAGCCCTGAGTGTCCACTGGAAACTGGTAAGGTTTTGGGATGATGTACCCCACGTCCTGCACCAGCTTGGGAGGGCTGAGGCTCTGGGAGCTGCAGTTACTGGTGTGAACTGGACTCCAGCCTGGAGCCCAAGCAAGCCAAGTACCCAACGAGAGACTAGCTGGCACCATTGTGTGTTTAACATCTCCCAGGGGAATGTGAATGGAGGAAACTTGGAGAAAGCAGAGCATCCTCCTCCCCAGCACCAGGGAGTGCAAAGAGGCCCATGGGCCCAAAAGAGAACCAGGAGCCTCTCTGAGCGTGTGGGGTATATGGCTGGTTTTTCTCATTGGAAGGGGGTACCTGTTGCTGCTGCCACAACTGCCACCCCCTCAGATGCGGAGCAGCAAGAGGAATTGGTTCCTGAGAAGCAGTGAAGGGTTTGAGGAGGTGAGGGAGGAGGTTTCCAGCAGCATGAGACAGGCTCTGCGGTCTCTGAGCTGACAGTGCCGATGCTCTTCCTGCTTCACCCGCACACAGAAGGCCCGTCGGGCACCCAGAGCAACTGGGGCTGTTGGGAGGAGGGTGTTCTCGGGGGATTGGGGCGAGCAGCACAAATGGGTCCCAGCTTTCCTTGTACCACCACCAGCAAAGCCAAGAGGGAAGGCAGAGATTTGTTGATTGAAGCAGAGAAGTTTTGACAACTCTCTTCTCTCAAGTCACAGGCGACAGGACAAGAGGAAATGGCCTCAAGTTGTGCCAGGGGAGGTTCAGGCTGGATATTAGGAAAAATTTTTTCACTGAAAGGGTTCTCAGCCATTGGAATGGGCTGCCCAGGGAGGTGGTTGAGGCACCATCCCTGGAGGTGTTCAAAAGCCGGGTTGATGTAGTGCTGGGAGGTCTGGTTTAGTGATGATGCTCCTTGTTTGTTGTGTGGGTGTCTATTTTTGTCAGTGAGGTTGACGGTTGGACAAGATGATCTTTAAGGTCCCTTCCAACCTAGAAGATTCTGTGATTCTGTGATTCTCCAGTTACCTCTACCTTTAAGTTGCAAGGACAGATCAAAGGGAGGGGGGATTTACACACTGTATGTACCAGCCCAGAGGAGCAGCTCTTTTCCAGCCTTGGCTTTTGCCTGGTTTTGGGTACAGATTGCCTCTTTCTTCTCGCCACCTGCCAGATCCCTTTCCCTCTTCTAGCACTGACACATCCCACCTTCCTTCCAGCTGCCCCGATTGTTCCCAGCTCCCTGTGCTCTGGGGCTTAGGAGCTGAAATCTGGGAAGTAGGAGGGTTGAGAAAGCCCTGGGAGGTAAAGTGAGTTCATTCATTCCCATGGGGATTCTGTCCATCTTCCCAAGCGTCCCTGCCCTCCTTCCCGGGAAGGACTTTTGAACTGTTGGATGAATTTAAATTTTATCCCTAGTTTTAACTTGAGTCATTTTTGTTTGTGGCAAACTGCAGACTTCTGTGACTCTGTCCCAAAAGTATTTAGAGAATGTGTTGGCATTTTCAGAATGCGAAATTAGTTTTTGAAAGGAGACAGTGGGTTTGTTTCCAGAGGGGGACATTTCTGTGGTAGAACAGAAGGTGAGGCTTTTGGAAAAGAGGATGTATTCTGAGAAGAATCAGAAATGAGAGACCTTTCAGAGTGACTGAATGCACAGTGTGGGGCAGTGGCAGAGAGAGGATCTTGAGATGAAGAACTGCAGAGACCTTGGTGGTCACTGCATGATGGACAGAGATGGGAAGAACCCAGAAGAGACTGGCAGCAGAGAAAGGGAGTCAGGCAAGGGGAGAGCTAGAAGAAAGACCACATAGGTTTATGGGGATAAAATAGCTGAGAATATAACAGAGGGAAGGTAAAGCAATTCAGTGAGACACAATCAGCTGGGAAGGAAGGAAGAGGATGTAGTGAAACGGGAGAGAAAAATGAATGTGAGAAATGTGCTTCCAGAGCGCTGGATATACGTGAGGGATTTCCTTCCCACTGAGTGCCCTGTACCTGAGCTTAGGGGGAGAGTTGTTCTGGTGGCCACTTGGAAACCTGTTCCTAGGGGAGCTGTGGAGTTTGTGTGCTTGTCTGGAGCAGAGACGAGTCCTTGGGCTGCAGCAGTGGAGAGTGGATTGCTCTTCCACCGCTTTCTCTGGCCAAGGTGGCTACCAGCAGAGATGGCAGGAGGGAATGAATGTGCTTAGGTTGAAATGGCACATGGAGACCTGAAGGTGTCCCAGGGAACCGTGGTGTGACACCTCTAAATGTCAGACTTTCTAAAACACCAGCACGTTCTGTAGGGGAAGGGGCTCCAGCAAAGTGATGGGACAGAAGACAGGGGGGTGGCTGTGGAGGCTGCCCTGGCTGCAGCACCACAGCTTTTCTGACCCTGGTGGGAACCTGCCAGCAACATTCAGCAGGCTCTTTGACGTGTGACTTCTCTCATTAGATTAATCAAATGCTAATTTTGACATCTGAAGGGGGAATCAAACCACCTAGTTTGAGACATTTGCATCTGAGCAGCAGAGGCTCCATAAGCAGCAGAGGCAAGTAGGTGCATCTGTAACACAGGTCATCTGACATTGAAATATGTGTCTAAGAGGGATGGTTTGCACCCATGTGGGATCTTCTTCCCTCTGATAAGTATGAAAAAGGTTTGAGTGATTAAATTACCTTGTGGCTCTTGTGGCATTTTACCACAACTGACTATTTCCCGGCCGATGATTTCAACAGAGACAGGCAGTCCACGTTAATTCCCCCTAATCCTGAAATTTCTAGGGGTGCCAAAGTCTTCCCTTTTTTCCCCTTCCACAGTTATAGAATCATAGAATCATAGAATTGCCCAGGCCGGAAGGGACCTCCAAAGGCCATCTAGTCCCACCTCCCCGCAGTCAGCAGGGACACCCCCAACTAGACCAGGTTGCCCAGGGCCTCATCGAGCCTCACCTTGAATATCTCCAGGGATGGGGCCTCAACCACCTCCCTGGGCAACCTGTTCCAGTGCTCCACCACCCTCACAGTGAAGAACCCCCTCCTCATCTCCAGTCTGAATCTGTTCCCCTCCAGCTTGAAGCTATTACATTACATTACAGTATTTCCAACCCACCTCACTGCGGCAAAACACAGGAGTAGGATCACCAGAACATCCAGTGAGTTAAATAAAGCGCTGAGCACAGCTCCTGCGATGGGGCTGGCTCCATCGAGGCTTCTATGGGAAAGGCCCAGCAGGGGGTTTAACCTTCAGCGTAGAAGTGTAGCTTATAATGAACCCTTCATGGCCTCTTTTATGTTTTTCCTCGCAGCTTCCTCTAGCCATCTGATGAATTCTGGGGTTTGCTCCCTGAGATAGACTTCTTACAGATTACATTCAGGCTTGTGCTTTCCTGTATTTTGGTTCTTTCATCCTGGATGCTGGTGCTTTTGTATTCATTGACACAGAATATGTGTTTTCCTCGGAACGTAGATAAAGATTTCTGGTAGATTGTAGCAATAGACCTTGCTCTCTGTGTGTGCCAGGCTTTTATATGCAGGATTGTTTCTATGCCAAATGCTTGCATTTGTCCATTCCACTGTTAAGAACCAGAATGCCACAGCCTCAGTGGTGGCCGTGTGCTGGTGTGTCTGGAGATACAGAACCAAACTGCAATGTTAAGGGGTTTCAGCCACTGTAGCTTGATATTACATCTGTCAACTAATGCACTCAACTAATACTGTTTAAACGAGCAACTGCAAACATTTGCTATTAGGTTAATTCAGTGGAAAGAGTGCACTTTCAACATACTTCTGTTAGAACAGAACTGAACATATCTTTCAGCTCTCAAGGGAGCTCTGCCCCCAGCCCTTTCCTGACTCCAGCTCATCCATATTGCTCTGGCAACACGGCTCTCACTCTCTGCTCTCGCCCTGGCACAGCCCTGATTCCTGAGCTTCTTTTCCTCCTTCTCTGCTTGCCCCACCGAGCCCAGTGACACCCACCGTTCTCCAGTCTTGCTGCACTTGTGACAGCCACAAAACCCCCAGCTGAGCCCTCCCATGTTGAAAATTTAAATTTTCATTTAAAAAGTCCCATTTCTCTGTGCCCCAACTTCTGAGCAACAGGATTTTTCACAACCCGATGCTCCTCGTCTCGCTCAGGAAAGGCGGCAGAGACTGGAATTTGACAGAACTGGATGTAAAATGGCTTCACTGTGCTTCGCTTCCAGGCTCAACACAGCCTGTGGCAGCACGAGCTGGCAAACCCCCAGCAGCGTGTGGCCCCTCAAATCTTCATGCAGGTTCAGTGAGATTCCCCCTCCACCCCGTAGGTGCTTGGCTTCAGTGCACGGGCTGTCCCTCTGCCACCCCGGGCCGTCCCGTGGCACTGAAGTGAAGCTCATGTCAAATGCTTGTCCCTAGGTGCTTGGCTTCAGTGCACGGGCTGTCCCTCTGCCACCCCGGGCCGTCCCGTGGCACTGAAGTGAAGCTCCTGTTCAATGCTTGTCCCCAGCCCAGAAGCAGTGACGTGTCCCAGTGCCTTCCTGGTCCCAGCCCGAGCCCTGCGGGTGCCGAGGAGCCGCTGTGACGGGCACACGTGGGCTGAGGTGACCTGAGCACTGCCCCGCTACTGTACGAACTGAAGTATGCACGTGTGCTGCTTCCCTGCGTACTCTGTGTAATTCTTCTGAACTGATTTCTCCCAAACAGAGCCTTACACCTGTGGAGCTTGTGGAATCCAGTTCCAGTTTTATAACAATCTCCTGGAGCACATGCAGTCCCACGCAGGTAAGCTGGGCACTTCGACTCGCTGAGAGCGGAGAATTAAATTCTGCGCTGACGCCTGATGTTGACCCCGTTGTGTGTCAATGGAGCTTTCTGTGCTCACGGTTTCCAAAGCCCCAGTGATTTCACCTGCAGTGAACAAAAAAAATAGGCAAAGGCTGGAGCACACACAGCAGCTGCAGCAATGCAAGGCTCAGGGTGTACTGTAACCACTGCTCCTTTCCCCAGGGAGAGGGGAAACATGGCACAGAGCACATCAAACCCCCATTCCCTGTATCCCAAGGTATCCAGGGAATGCTCATTGCGTGAGCACTAGTGGGTCACTCATCCCAAGGTATCCAGGGAATGCTCATTGCGGGAGCACTACAGCAGATGAAATCCCTCCTGCAGAAAGGGCAGTTCTCGTTGAAGCAAACAAAGCAAGAACACTCACAGGGCAGCAGAGCCTTCGCCCACACAAGCCTTTTTCTGCACTTGTGTCTCCTGGAGTTCTGCAGAGGACTGAAATGTGTTCTCGGGAGAAGAATTTGCTATTTCAGCAGTTGTGTTTATTTGCTTCTCAGCTCTCTTCAAAAGAAAATTCTGAGGAGTAGCTCCGCTACTTTGTTCCTAAGACACGTTTTTTGTTTTCTATCTTAACGCATAAAAGACAATTTTAAAATTTAAAGCCAAAGCTGTTTCAAAGACAATGTTTAGCATATTCAAAAAAGTAGAAATGGGATTTTTTTTTCTATTGGCAGATTTATGTTTTTTTTTTCCTCTTGAATGAAAATTCAAGTGAATTAACACAGGTTTACAAATGAATTCCCCTTCGACAGACCCGTGTTTTCCAACAGACAGCGGCTCTGTTGCACTACAGTCAGTGCTTTCCTTTGCCTTCACTTTACAGGTGAGCCCTGAGTGGCACAGAAGGACAAGTGGCTTGAGGAAAAACATAGTCTCCAGTCTGTAGCAGTAATTCTAATCAAAGTTCTTATCTTGTTCTGTGTTTTAGTTTTAGTCTTAATTTTTATGGGTATCGCCTGAGTTCTACGGGATCCCTCGGTTCCAGTTCAGTTCTGTTGGCGAGTCTTGGCACAGGCTGTGTGTGTTCTGCAGCAGCTACTTTATTTATCATCTTTGTAATCTTCTGAAGAAACATTCAGGGTGGTTTGTTATGAGTTGGGGTGAGCTTTGTGGATGTTACTTTCTGTTAGAGCATGAGATGGCTAATGTGGAGGAACTGGACGTGACACGGGGAAGCGGTGCAGCTCGGGGCAGGGGCTGCCATCGCTCCGGGGTGTCAGGGTCTGTTCCAGCTCTCTGTCCACGGCCATTTCTGCTTCCCTCCGAGCCACATCCTGACCATCCTGTTCCTTCTTCTGCCCTCTGGGACTGGAATACAGCATCTTAAGTTACAGCTCTTGGTGACCCTGAGTAGAGGAGCTGCAAAGGAGAGCCCAGGGCTAAGGTGTCACAGAGGAGACAGGTAGTTCACTGGCAGGCTGTGAGCTGGTGGTGCTGTCTGCAGCTTCTTCCTTCTCTCTTCTTTACAAATGACCCATGGCCTCTGGTCTTGTTCACCTGGTCACTGTGGACGTAGCACGGGGAGCAGGTATCTGTGATCGTGTAATGTCAGCAGAGATACGTTAATGGGTAAATCCCCTCTCCTCAACTCAGGATTACTCCTGTTAAACTGTGTATTTTCTCATCTCTCCCCGCTCTGTTTGTAATTCCCTGTCTTCTGCTTGGCTGCCTCCCCGGATGTCTCACTGGCACAGTGACAGCAGGCTTGTCTGTGTCTTCTTTAAGTGCTTTCTCTAGGTGTCACCAAGGCTGCCCCCACTGAAAGCAGCCACCCCCTGCTCTGGCATCTCTGTGGTGGTACTGCCCAGCCCAAGGCTCATGCCTCTCCCCCCAGAGGGAAGAGCAGCCTTTCCTCCTCCCAGCTGGGGACGAGCAGCACAGTATTTGCTGCTCTGGGATGGGGGCAAATGAAAATGAAGAGGTGGGAAAGCTACAGTAGGGTTTGGGGGGCGTCTGGCTCTGGATGTTGCACTTAAGAGAGCAGCAGTGGAGATTACAGGGGGTTTGCAGTTACTTGGGCCACAGTTTGTTGCCTTGTAGCCTGTCCAGAGCTCGGGAATGGCCATATCCAAGAAACAGCATCTGAACAACATCTCTGAAGTCTGGGAGTGCAGAGACCTTGCAGTAGTCAGCAGAACTGGTGGCATGGGATCCACATACTGGGGACATTGGCACAGTAGTGGTTTATACCTTTCCATATGCCTGGCTCAGGGAGTGAGGAGGTGGCTTCATGTTGCTCCAGGGGAGGCTTAGGAAGGATATTAGGAAAAATTTCTTCACTGAAAGGGTTATCAAACATTGGAACAGGCTGTCCAGGGAAGTGGTGGAGTCACCATCCCTGGAAGTATTTAAAAGCCGGGCAGGCATGGTGCTGAGGGACATGGGTTAGTGGTGGGCTTGGCAGTGTTAGATCGGTGGTTGGACTTGATGAACTGAAAGGTCCCTTCCAACCCAGATGATTCTATGATTACAGGGATGCAGAGATACAAGAAGCCCATATGGGTCACGTACTCCCCCAGTTGTTGTGTTTACAGTCCAGTTTGGCTTATCCTGTCTGATGCAAAGGCCTAATCTCTCCCAACTAAACATGATGCATCCACTGAGCCCCTCTCACGAGTGACTGGGGACAGGGAAAGTGCTGCCAGCCTCAAGGAGCAAAAGCAGGGACATACTGGCTCTTGAGTCACTCAGAGAGCTGAGCCTGTAGGCTGGAAGGTAGTAAGGAGAGATTATAGCTCCATAAAGCAGCTACACAATGAGAAGAAGCAATTAGAATGTAAATTGGATGCTGAAAGGCCGAAATAGAACAGCAGAACACCAGGCAAAGGAATTTGTTCTGTAATTACACTGTACAATATACAGCTCTTACTCCCTTTAGAGTACTTTGTTCAGGTTGAGTGCTACCATATAATGCCCTTCCTACAATCTAGAGCTAAAAAAATAAAAGGATGGCTAGGCTGAACCTGGATTAAAGGATTGGAGGCATGAAGAGAAATTAAAGAACCATGATCTGTGTAGTTCACAGACTGCCTGATAAGAAAGATGAGGCTGAAATGCACAAATCTCATTAATGCCATATTGAATGCCAGCAGATATTTGTACATAATGAATCCCCTATTGTTTTGAAATAGGTAAAGAGCCGGGGGGAGGAAATATAGAGGGTTTCTCCCCACCACACCCCTTGTTAAGTCAAGGAAGTCCTGAGCCATGAACAAAGTAGGCACCATCCAGCATTATCCTTTGCCTGTGCACAGATGTTTGGAGCTGGGGACACGGGTGGCGTTGGTCTGGGCAGATGCTGCAGGAGAAGTGCTGTGTTGTATCTGATCACTGATGTTAACTCAGCACCTCCTGCTCTCCCCATCTCCTCCACACCTGCAGAGACTAACCTCTGGCTGTAGTCCTGGGCCTGGCAGTGCCCCCAGGTACTGGCCACCACCACTGGATTCTCTGGGCACATGCAGCCCTGGAGACAGTGCCAGAGTCTTCCCTGTGTCTGTCATATCCTGCATTGCTCTTGGGTATTGATCCGGGCTGTGGCCAGTGCAGTGCCCAGACCTTAATAATAGTAATAACTGTGCAGTCCATGGCTGTTCATCGGCAACACTTGTAAAAACCTCAGCAGCTAATGTCCAGAACTGCTCAAATGGGAGAGGACTGGCTTGTAAGGAAGAGAGCACTGGAATTTCATCACATCGTTGCTTGTCCCTAGATCCTTGCTGGGCTCCCTTCTCTCCCAGCTCATTGCCACACCTGGAGAAGAGCAGCGTTGCCCTCTCCTCTTTCTTCTGAGGGGCTGCTGCTGCTCTGCCCAGCACCAGATCAACCTGGGCTGCAGAGCAAACCACCTCTGGGTGCCTTAATAAGGCATTCCTCTAATTGGTGCTCTGCTGTCCCCTGTGCTGGGGCAGGATTTGTTTCACTGGGTGCTGGTGTGCTTGGGCTATAGATACTATATCTGAGCTGGTCAACTTGGTCTCCCTTTATAATCAGTGGAGAAGTCATTGACTCCAGGTGAGTTCAGAGCAAGATGCATCTTACACCACAAGAGACATCTAGTTCTGATTGGGTGAATGAATCACGCTCTTGAGCCTGTTTTGCACCACTGAGTGTAAAAGGAGCCCCAACTGACCACTTTGAATAGAGGTGTGTCTAATAGAGGTGTCAAATTAGGTGAGGTGAGGCCAGCTGTGATGAGTAAAGGACCTGCTTTGTCTTCTTTGGTTTTAATTCCATCCTTCTATTCTACCTGGTCATCAGTCTCTCCATCTTTCTCCTTCCTTTTCCACCTTTCTTCATTGTGCGCTTTATTGTTGCTTCACAGCCTGTTTCAGAGCCCAGTTTCATGCTGTAGCATCCTAGAACTAGAAAATATCCTCTAGAGGGTGGGGAGAAGTTCTTGGGGCACAGGAGAAGGAAGAACATGGATACAATACAGAATTTACTGATCTTGACTGCATTTCCTTGAAAGATCCCATCGTCTTGGCAGCCAGAGAGTTTTGCCCAGTTACACAGAAATGGGAACATGAACCCCAGGACCCCCAGGGCACTTGGTACTTGCAGCAATACGGAGGAACCATCTTTGGTCACACTCCAGAATTCCTTTTTGTTCCCTGCCTGAGGCAGCAGTGAGCAGCCCAAGAGGAGCAGGCTCCTCCCTACAGTGGGAGGAAACCATATATGAGGATTGTAATAAGATCTTTAGAGAGGGCTTGAGGATAGCTTGAAAAACAAAGTATTTAAGAGTAAAGAAAAGACACCTGCAGTGCAGAAAGAGGCAGTGAGGCAAAAGAAGGATAAATGTTTGTTAAACCTCCTTTGATTTCGAAAGCAAGGAAATAGCACAAGTCAGGCTGCACCAGGAACATCTGTCCCTCCTGGTCTGCAGCTTCACTTTGTTGGGAGACATTTCTCAAGGTGTGCTCATGGCATCAATGTCACTGATGCACAGAAAAAGCCACATTTCAGCCACGTTTTGGGAGGTGGTGGGTTGCAAGTCCGAAACCAGTTTTTAAGGTTTCTGATGGTCCTGTGCCATCTCACTGAAAACTGCTTCAAGGCTACAGAAAATGTAGTAGATTGGTGTCACCTTAGTTAGAGGAATCCTGAGTACATGAGTACGTGCTGCCATGAGTAGCGTGGTACCCATGTACCATACCATGAGTAGCAGATGGGTACTGTTTCCCCCGCTGTGTGCTTTAAGCATTATTATCTTGTGCTTCTAACACCTCCCTGTCTCTTGCCCACAGCTGACAACGAGAACAACATTGCCTCTAGCCAGCCCAGATCACCTCTAGCCGTTGTTGAAGAAAAGTGGAAACCACAGCTCCAAAGAAATAACGCCAACAATAGTACGTAATTTGCTCTTCTGTCCCAGCCTGACCTGTCTGCTTTGAAGAGGTGACCCTCAGAGAGGGTGCAGCAGTGATGGGCATCACACAAGGCCTTTGTCCTCGCCTGACTGCTCTTGATTTCCCCCATTATTCCTGTACCACCCTGCAGAGCACAGCACCCATTCCTGTTACAGGAGCACTCGGATGCAAGAAGTACTGGGAACCCCGGGGAAGCGGTGGGAATGGTTTGTGAGGAAGATGCAGTTGGGAACTCCTGGAAAAAGCTAATTTCTGATCCAGTGTCAGACTTTCCGGCCTGGGGTTAAAATGAATCCAGTTGTCAAGGTGTCATCAGCATAACCTGTCACTCCCTGTGCAGGCACCTGCTTTACCCCCAGCTCGTCTGGGAGCTTGTGCTTCCCCAGGGGAAAAGGTAAAACAGCTCTGTGGGGAATCGGTCCTGAAGCACTTGAGCTGAGCAGCTTGAGGAAAGGGTGATACTAAAACATGGTGCTTTTATCTTCTGGTCCTGCCAGAAATTGCATTCACGTTGCCTGAAATCAGCCACAAAAAGTGGGGTTGCTGGAGTTCAAAGGAGGAAATGGAAAGTTGGGCTTCAGCAGTGTTTGAGGTGGTGGAAGAAGTTGAACACTTCACTGAAGCAACTTCTCTTAAAATAACTGTCTTAAAGAAAAGGCTCAAATCACAAAAGTGGAAAGATGTCCAGCTGGGTTGAGCTGTGACCACCAGCCCATAGACATGGATAGCAAATGGTGCCTGTGATTATAACTTAAGTTGGTAGCTCCTCAGTGAACCCCCCAGAGATGCTGTTGGTTAAGGCAGCGTGAGTAGATAGTGTGTGCTCTGCCTCAGTCCCTGTACCAGGGGAAGCACGCAGATAAGCTCCTTGCTGCTCTGAGCAAGAACAAGGCCTGTCCCTGGAGGTTCCTCTGTCCAGAAACCCTTGGGGGAAGAAATCCAGGGTTGGAGATGTCTCTGCCATCATCTGGGCATGTTCCACCTCCTCTGAGTGAACTCACGCCCTACCTGTCTGGGTCTGAATTGTTGTGTGCCTTCCTCCCCTCTCCTGTTGCAGAGGAGCAATTCTCACCTGGTGCTTTCTCTTCCTCCTTGTGTTTCACTGCAGCATCAGCAAGCGGCTCGGTCGGGAACAGCGTGATCCCGGAGAAGGAGCGGCAGAACATTGCGGAGAGGCTGCTGAGGGTGATGTGCACTGACCTGGGGGCACTGAGCGTGGTGAGTGGGAAGGAATTCATCAAGCTAGCCCAGACCCTGGTGGACAGTGGAGCTCGCTATGGTGCCTTCTCTGTCACCGAAATCCTTGGCAATTTCAACACGCTGGCTCTGAAGCATTTGCCTCGGATGTACAACCAAGTGAAGGTGAAGGTCACCTGCGCGCTGGGCAGCAACGCATGCCTTGGCATCGGAGTCACCTGCCACTCGCAGAGCGTCGGCCCCGATTCCTGCTACATCCTGACGGCCTATCAGGTGGAAGGCAACCACATAAAGAGCTACGTCCTGGGAATTAAGGGCGTAGACATTCGAGATAACGGTGATTTTATCCACCACTGGGTACAGAACGTGCTGTCGGAGTTTGTGATGTCAGAGATCAGGACGGTGTACGTCACGGACTGCAAAGTCAACTCCTCCGCGTTCTCCAAGGCAGGCATGTGCTTGCGTTGTTCGGCCTGTGCCTTGAACTCGGTAGTGCAGAGTGTGCTGAACAAGCGAACGCTACAGGCTCGCAATATGCACGAAGTGATCGAGCTCCTGAATGTCTGCGAAGATCTGGCAGGATCCACGGGCCTCTCGAAGGAGACCTTTGGCTCCCTGGAAGAGACCTCTCCCCCTCCCTGCTGGAACTCGGTCACCGACTCCCTCCTGCTGGTCCATGAGCGCTACGAGCAGATCTGTGAGTTCTACAGCAGGGCCAAGAAGATGAACCTCATCCAAAACCTGAACAAGCACCTGCTCAGCAACCTGGCGGCCATTCTGGCGCCGGTGAAACAGGCTGTGATCGAGCTGAGCAACGAGAGCCGGCCCACCTTGCAGCTGGTGCTGCCCACCTATGTCAAACTGGAGAAACTCTTCACTTCCAAAGCTAACGATGCTGGCGTGGTCAGCAAACTCTGCCACCTCTTCTTGGAGGCGCTGAAGGAGAACTTCAAAGTTCATTCGGCGCACAAGGTAGCCATGATCTTAGACCCTCAGCAGAAGCTGCGGCCCGTTCCACCCTACCAGCACGAAGAGATCATCGGCAAGGTCTGTGAGTTGATCAATGAGGTGAAGGAGTCCTGGGCAGAAGAAACAGAATTTGAACCTTCAACCAAGAAGCCTCGGGCAGCAGGGGAAGCCACAGCAGCTCAGGAAGAAGATTGGTTCGGGAAAAATGAAGTCTATGATTATTTGCAAGAACCTCTCTTCCAGGCCACCCCTGACCTGTTTCAGTACTGGTCGTGTGTTACACAAAAGCATACGAAACTAGCCAAGCTAGCCTTTTGGCTCTTAGCAGTGCCTGCTGTTGGTGCCAGAAGCGAATGTGTAAATATGTGTGAGCAGGCTCTCTTAATCAAAAGGAGACGGCTACTCAGTCCAGAAGACATGAACAAACTCATGTTTTTGAAGTCCAACATGCTTTAAGACTGTCTTTTAATTAAAACAAAACTTTAAAACACTGTTCCAAACAAAGAAAAAGAATTTTAAGTTCTAAACACTGTGGACCTCATTATGAATGCCCCTGGAAACCAAGTGCTTTTTTATATATATATAAAAATATAAATATATATAAAATTAAGTTTGAAAGGAAAGCTGAGCACGGGAGAGAGACAGCCCTCTGCCAGGAACGTGCTCCTTTCCATAGATAGTGTGTGGACTTGACAGACTTTCTAATGTTTTCAAGTGGGCAGACCAATGGGAGGCTGATGTTCTAAAGTCTTCAGGCAGCTGAGATCTAAAGTGACTTGAAGTTTCTTTTGTTTCTCCTCCACCCCACCTTTCCTCTTGTCCCCTGGGCCATCTTGCCATGGATAATCAGACTACATTGAACAGACCAGTTCTGCACTGGACTTTGCTCCTTTGAATAACTCTACACCTTGAGGGCATTTGTCTGCAGCCTTCTTGACACACGGTGCATGTTATCAGGGCAGCTGTGTTTTATGAACACCAGTATCTTTAGAAATCAGGAAGGGAGACTTTAAGGGTTTTTTTTTCTAATTTTATTTGTAACACATACAGTTTTTGCAAAAAAGAAAAGTTACTCTTCTCTCTCCACTCCCAGTTTTGAGTTTAACATGTTAGCTAGTGATTATAAGCTTGATTTAAAACTGAGAGAAACGGTTCATGGCAGAAAATGTCTATAATTGTTACGTTTCTTGGATTTATTTTTTTTTTTTTTTACAGCATAACTTCTTTTCTGAGTTCCAAGTGTTAATTAGCTTCTCTGTGAGTTCTGTACATCAGGCGTTCTCAAACTTGTTCTGGAGTGGCCCATTTGCAATTAAATAAGATCCTTATGGGAACCCCAGCAGCTGCTCATATGCTAGAAACCAGGAGGAGCGAGCGGTGACGGCGCAGGTGTCTGTGGGCCACCAGCTTGCCAGGCTCTGCCAGCTGCCCCTGAGAACCCTCGTACCTCAGCTTTTTGTAAACCTTCTCAGTCCACACACTCAAAGTAACCTTCACAAGGCCAAGGACAAACCAAGGTGTATGATTTTTCAGGGGAACAAAGATCATCAGTTTTGTCAAACTGGGGTTTGAAGGAAGCTTAGAGAAGTGCATGGGCTCAAAGATCCTTCTGAATGTAAGTGCTCCTGATTGAGTGCAAAGAATATCTCCCCATTTTATTTGGAATGGTTTCCTCTAGTAGCACGAATGTCTTTTTAATACCTACAGTGCATTACACTACTTGTTATGTTGCTGAATTGTTCTGGCTAGGAAGGCCTCGGGCCCTTAGACATTCACAGTTACCCACTCACCCCAAATGCAATTAGAGATCATCATAACCCAAAAACATCCCGGTCCCTCTGCTGCCCACCACGGCCGGTGCTCTGCTGGGCCCAGTGCCTGTCCTGGGCTGCTGACAGGGTCTCTGCAGGCTCTCAGGTTTGGTGCCTCTTGGACTTTTCCCAACTTCTGGTGCCAAACGGTTAATTTTTCATCACTGGGACTTTTATCCCGGAGGTAAATTGAAGCAAATTCTTGTTATTGAAGTATTCTCTCCAGCTTCCAGTAGCACGCACTGGGGCTGTGGTGACAGCAGCAGCAGAGTGGCGTGGGGGGCTCGGGAGGAGGGATTCGCCGGGCTCAGAGTGGGCAGGAGGGGCTGGAGCCCTTTGGCCATGCAGGGGGGTGCTGTGGCTGCTGACGGTGCGGGGGTGGGACCGGGGGCCCACCTGGAAGTCCTGCTGTTGAACAAATGTTAAACCAAGATCCCACCTGCCTGTCTCTGGTTGCAATAGAAGTTGCAAGTCCCAAGACATGAGAAATGGCAAACCCAGTCTCTCAGGCTTTGTGCTCAGACACCTAGAACCCTGCAGGCACCTACTGAGAGCCCCACGCCGTAGGGCACTGGGAGGGGAAGGGTCTGTGTGGCTGAGACCTTCCCTAGGTCAAGGTCGCTGAGGATGACTCTTTACACTCTAAAAAGTCTTGCCCTTTTCAGCCTGGAAACAGGACCTGCTGAGTGTAGCCTTGGGGTTGACCTCTTGGCACTGGTACTGCCATCGGGGCAAAACCAGTCAGCTCCTAAATGCAAGTGTTACATATGGATACGGTAAAAGACCCCAGTCTGCAGCCCCGCCGAGAGCTGCCGGGGCACTTGCAGAGGCACTTGGAGATCTGGATTCTCTGGCTTTTGCAAAGGGAGGTGTTGGTTGTGGGGCCAGCATTTCTTCTTGCTGGTTTTATTTTCTCCTGTCCAAATCCTGCCTGCCCAGCCACCACCTGGGCCCACGGTTAACGCGTCTGTTTGCTCTTGCAGTGCGGGAGAAACCTGTAAGAAACAATGGCTAAGTCTCGAGCTACAAAGGAGAAGCCCAGGTTTGATGAGTGCTGATGACCAAGTGTTTGTGCCCTGCTGCTGGTCCCGCAGGAGGCCATGGCTGGAGGATGAATCCAGAGCCAGGTTAGGTTTTGAGGCTGTGGAGAGTGTGCCAGGCTCAGTGTGTGCCAGCCCAGCTGCTGGGCACAACTGGGGACAGGATTTGTAGCTCTTTCTCTTCATGGCACGTTACACCTTTTTGCTTGGTTTGCCTGAGACCCCGAGAGCCCCTTGCAGGCTCTTCAGTGCCCAGGGAATGTGCAAAATCCTTGTGTTCCTTTGGAAAGTCACAGGTTGGTGACTTCTGTGGGACTTGCCAACTCCTTGTGCTGTGTGTCTGGAGGACAGTAAGGGTGGGGAAGTGACCAAAGCAAGAGTGAGCACAGGTTTAAAGCTCTGGAATGGAGAATGAGGTAAAATTGCAGTCATTTGTGCAATCATTGGATGCTGTGCACAGCAGAGAGCTGGACCGTGGCTGCACAGAAAGGCCACAGCCACTGTTAACTACCAGCCCATCTCCTCCCATTTTTATGGTGTGGTTTTGGAGTCGTATCTGGAGCTTTCTTGCTGTGACGACCAAAGAGAGGGACTGACCGACCCTCTCCTCCAGCTGAGTATTTGTCACCTCCACGGCAGCTTTGGTTATAGTTGCACTATTGGTGGATGTTAAGCGAAGATGCAGAGTTGTCTGGTAGATGAGATTCTCCCAAAGACTTAAAAACTCAACTCAGTAGCTGAAAAAACAAAATAAAACCCAAAGCCCTAAAACGGAGCGATCTGGAAGGTCGGTGGGAAGAGGAGCTGGTTGGCCAGGCACCTTCTCCAGAGACTCAGGGGAAGAAGCCGCAGCTTTTCATGAGACTGAACCGTAGTTAGAAGCTGTTGTGCTCAGAGGAGCTGTTTGTGCTGTGCCTGCTCACAGGCTGACGTGATGATGTACTTGTGCTTCATTAAAAGGAGAGAAGCGCATCTGGAGCACACGTATTTACCCTAAAAGCTAAACTTTTGTTCGTATTTATCCTTCCCTCTTCAAGACTTGGATTTGCATTCTAGGGAGCACAGATAATTTACCAGGGTCAGAATTTTGGAAGCTCTTAATTTACCAGGTTACTCCAACCAAGACTACTCTGTGATTCTGTTCTGTGTATGGCTTGGTGGGATGGAGCAGCACCTCTGGCGTGAGAAGCATTGTCCATCCTGGGGTGGGAGACCAGAAAGGAGAGCGTTTCTTGGTTTGGCCAGAGCTGTCATGAGGTTCTGCTCCCTTTGAGCCAGGAGGAGAAGTCCTCAGAATTGGGATCATCCTCTGGTGGGTCATGTTGGGAATTTGCCTTCTGCTTGTTTGTGTCCTTCACTTGAGGAATGTGTTGGGATCCAGAAATGGCAGTCACGAGTTTCTGCTGCTCACTCTGTGCCTGACCTCACAGAATTCTCTTGCTGGCTTCTCAGTTTGCTGTGGGAGGGGTTGTCATCTTCATTCAGGTGGGGAGCAAGCACCAGCAGAAGAATAAAGGGCCTTCCAGTTCTGTCCTTGTCACTGGAAAGCAGAGAAAGTAGGATGCAAAGGCAGAACCCTTCAAAAGAGAAGGGTGTTTCTGTGTGAGTGTGGCAGCCAGAGGGGCAGTGGAGACCATGGAGCCCAGGTTTCTCTGCTGGGGCTGTCTCCTCCCCGTGTGTCGGGCAGGGGCAGGGGCTGTGCTCTCCCTGCAGGACGGGCTCGCTCTCTCGCACCTGGGTTGGTTTTGGATGGAAGTAACTTTTCTTTTTGTCAAAGCTCAATGCCTGTTCTAAGAAAACTGCTTTGGTTGTGTTTGATCTAGTGCAATCTGGAAAACTGTCTGTGAAAGCCGACTGTGGGCTCAGGTTTTGTCTAATTCAGTTGTCTGTTAATTGCTGGTTAAACCAGTTTAACTTTGAGATAAAATGGTTTAAGCGTCCACGTGAACCGCCTGCACGGGTTGAACTGCGCTTGCTGGGTGTTCTCCCCTGCTGACCAGAGGGTACGTCCAGGAGCAGCTCAGGGAGCCATGACCCTTACCTGAATTTTGCAAATGAAGCCCTGGCAGATCAGTCTCAAAGCTCGGGAACGACTGAAAACAGAGGGGGGACACTTCTGAAAATGGCTTGGGCTCAAAGTTGTGGTGTCAGAGTTAATACAGTGAGATGTCTCAGGTTGGTTGGTTCTTATTTCTCCAACTGCTTGCAATAACCTGGAAGGTTTAGCAAGAGAAGAACTTGCCCCATATGTTTGCCTTGGTGGGTGGGTCTCCACTGTCCGAGCCAGTCTGAGGGACCGTTCCCACCTCCTGGATCCACAGAAGGTCAGCCAGGATGTAGCCTTGCACAGGAGCCTGGGCTGATCAGAGAACCCTGTGTGCATTTCTAGACAGCACCAAGTTCCTGATAAATCAAAAGGCAGTCAAAAAAGATAAACCAAAAAGCAGCCAAAAAGTTCTTTAGAGGCTGGGAGTGCTGCTTTGTACCAAGGAAAGACCCAGATCTCTAATTTCTTCTCTCTGGCCAAAGGAGGTGGAGAGCAGCTCCTGTGAGCACCCGTGGTAGGGGACGTTTACTGCCTATGGAATAATTGGGAGTAACAGGATGAAAATGAACAAAAAGACACTAAAGACAGATTCTGGGAAACCTTTTCAGGGAGGAGAAATCTGTTCATCTGGGAGGAGGATGTTACAGGAATGTTTTTGGGGTCCTGTCGTTTGAAACAAGGCTGGACACCCAGGTGGAGGACACGCCGTAGGGCACGGGGCTGCTTTGGACCTTGCTGAGAGAATGATTCCCGTGTGTTGAGTCAGGTCCTGCCCGGCAGGTCCAGGAGGGCTCACAGAGCCCTTTCCTTCACATCCTCCCACTCACCACCTGCACCAGACCCGTCCCAGCACTCCAGGACCTTCATTGACCGGGTTCCTGAAGGAGGGAGGTAGTGACTGGCAGGAGGGGCAGAGGAGGAAACACCAGTTGAGGAGCAAACCCGAGGTGAAGGTAGAGGAGAGTATGAAATGTTCTGCTGCTTCTGCTCTGCATTTTCTGTGCTACACCCTGATCCTGAATCCGTGGGGTCCCTTAGGAATGCCTCGAGACATGGGCTGAGACTCGAGGTCCTGTGTCAGATGCTTGTGAAGATGTGGCCCCGTAGCAATAAGAACTCCCATGGTACAGTGCGTGGGACCTGTCCCCGTGCCGCAGGTTGTCATCTTGGGGCTTCTGGAAATGTCACTCAACAAAACAAACAATATCAAAGGCAAGGAGAGGGAACCCCACGCACAGCTCCGTGCTGAACGCCTGGATAGTCCTGTGGGAG